CTCTGTTTAATGATGTACAGTAACAACAAAAGCACAGTTGAAATATTTTAAAATATTCTTCATGATATTCACGTTCAAATTAGATTAAATTAGCAATCCTTTTTTTCTGAATACGAAAAGTTGCAATGCAAAATAATCATACGGGATAGTCTCATCATAAAAGCTAAATAAAATAATAAAATCATTCATTCAAATATGTTATTTTGAAAGTTAATTCGTGGCACATCACTAGGTGCCCACATATCATGCACTTGAACAAAAAACGGGCTTCCGTGTGGCAGGCCTTTGGCCAGACCATAGTTCAAGTGCCATTAAAATCGAGTCTTGGCACTTGGGCATCTGCCAATGTGGAGGAGGATTGGGGGCAGGGAATAGATGGAAATGGCCATGGAAATGGGGTGAAGTGGAAGTTTGTGCAACAAATTAGTAGCAAAGTTGGCTCCGACTCGTTTCACTCCTACTCCATTGTCGACTCGCACTGGGCAAATATCCGGCTGCGGAAATTGCAATGAGACACGTGATCATGGAGACTCCACTACATCCGCCTGCCAGACAAATAAATCTTCATTTTGACTTGAACTTTTGCGGCGGTCCGTTGTCGGCCAAAACGAGAAGTTGCTAGCAAATTAACAGCTGTTGCGTAGCTCTGGCTCCAAGTCCTGAATCTCCGGGCTCCGAGCTCCTGAGTTCCTGCGGCTTCTCAGGTGATTTACGGCCAAGTTGAGACTCGGCCAACGGCGTCTGCATATTAATATGTGACTTGCCATTTTACTTTCTACGCCATGGAACTTGCAATCAAATCCGACTCCTGCACTTTCCCCCAGAAGCATTCCTTTCTGCCCAGACTTTCTTCTTGGCTGGCAGCACGTTTTTATTGTTGTGCCGGCCAATTTGTGACGAGTGAGTGCATATAATAAAGCAAATTATATTTCAGATTCAAATGTTATGCAGTCGAGCGGAAGACGTCTCAAGAGCCGGGCCCCAAACGATAGCGCGGCTGGAAGCACGGAGTACGTATACGCCATGTTGTCTCGTTGGCCAACGTGACCATGGCCTTTGCGACTGCTCGTTGCGAAAAGTATGTTACAATTATTTTCATCAAAAAACATCAAGCGGATTCCTCGACGCACACCACACAAAATTGTGGATTGCAGAATGGTTTCATCAAAATATTAAAGTTGATTCAATTAACAAGGAAAGGGTTTTAATCAATAAAATATATAATATATTTTTAGACACAAATAATCAATGAGTATTTATTATTTTATTTTTCTTTCAGAGAAGAATTGTTGTGTTTGTTTATTCTTAAAAGAACATGCAATTAATTAATTAAGTAAGCAAAACAAATGAATGTTATTAAGCGTATGCTTTTTTGTAGATTCCATTTAATTTTATTAAAATCAAGGAAAACGTTGTTATGATCAATTATTTATTTTAATCACACAACCCAAGAATATTCTTGCGTAATAATTTAATATAATCCTATTAGTTTAATTGGCCACCTGGACATCATTTGTGCGATGTTTTGTGCCATTTCCTCGCAGTTGTTGGTTTTTATGCTATGTACTACAACATGAAAGCCAAAGAGCAGAACAAAACAGGAGTGCACTTGAAATTGTTGATGGGCGAAGTGACTCGACTTGTGTGTAAGTGTGTGTGTGTGCGTCAGAATATCCTTTTTTTTCCTTTCTACTCCCAGTTGCATCCGCATGCTTAAAGTTTTGTTTCAGGTTTTTAATTTTGTGTTTTTTTTGGTGTGTCAACTTTTCCCTTTGTTTTGCATTTTAGTTGCCCCTCGGCTCCGTCACCCCTCCGCCCCGATCCTGCCGCCCGGAATCGGGAAAAGCATTTGGAAATTGCGGAGAAATGGAAACTTCTGACCCGGTCTGCAATGCTGACCGATGTCGACATCGTTGTTGGCCAGCCGCATGGCATAAAGAGCGACAGTCCGCAGGACATTTTATATTTAATTTACAGTGTGACCGCACTTGGTCTCTGTCCGTCTATCCGTCTCTTTTCCGTCTGAATGCCCCCTCTCTTTCCCTCCCCATTTGGCCTTGTATAATGCCATCCGTTCGCTGTACGAGTGCATTTAATAAAGTGCAATGCGGCTTGGGAAATGCGGGGGAAAAGCTTCATTGCGTTGATTTCCGCTCTTCGGACTTTCCCACATCACCGTATTTGTTTGTTTTCACCACACGGTCAGAAATTAATTTCTAATACCCATTATGGCGGTCCAGTTGGCCGAAAATCTACTAAATACGCTATCCATTAAGCAAAAATACATTTTTAAACGGGAATTGCATTAAATAAAGTTTCAAATAGGCTTTCGGCCTTCCAAAGTGGGGATTAGCGAGTGGGCGGCGAAGGGGAAACCAGGGAATGGGGGCGTGGCACAATCACAGAGGCCAAGAATTGCCGCAACAACAACCGAAATAAGCCCAACAAATTCCAAAAGAGAATTAAACGGAAAACTTGACAAGTGCCTTTAATACACTGAGTAAATATTTGAAAATTTAAACTCAATTAAAGAGTTTATTAATAAATCCTAGATCATGGAATAATTATGTTGACAATTTATAACAGACGAATATATTTAAATAATTTTATTGGGTATTCATTTTCTCGGCTAAAAGTTTTTAAGTAAAACAAATTCCGTTTTCAATTATTTCGGCCCTGTATCCACTCGACAATTTTCACTTTTTCGAGTTCCTGAACTTGTAGGGATTTTGAAGGGGAGAGGCAGATCGGTGGTTGGGGGTCCACTCCAAATTGATGCCCGGGATTGGATGAGCTGAAGCCGGCCATGTCCATGGGCCATTCAGTGTGCAGTGGTCCACACTTTTATTGCTTTAATTGCGCACCGAAGCGCAACAAGAATCGACGCACATCGCTCTCACATCTAGGACACATGTTGCTAATGAAGTTTTCTAACAACATTTCAACTCATGTCAGATCATAATCTGTTAATCTGCGAGGCCCGGACATCGAGTCCTCTGCCACTTCAGGATTGCTGAAAGGGCATAAAAATAAACTAGGACATGTCGAAACTGGCGACAACTGTACCAAACACATCAATCCGCCACCCTGAACTCTTCGGTCCTTTCACTCCTCATTTTGCCCATCAAAAGGGAAGAGAAAGTTAATGAAAATGGATTTTTAGTTTGTCATTGAGGGGTGGGAGTCATTTAGGACAACATTTACTCGTTGGCCAATGTCTCTTTTTAAAGACAAAAGGATTTGGGGATTGAAAAAGAGATGAGTGTGTGAAAAAAACAAGAAATATTTAAATTATACTCTTTATAAATATTGTTTCAAAGCTTCAGATTTTATAAAGTGACAAGAGCTTATATGGTCCCTGCTAAAACCTTCAACATTCAACAAAAACTAATTTATTAACGACCAATAGCAATTTTCTGGTACTCCTTCTATCTAGGAATTTACTAATTTGATCGATTGCCTAAGCCTCCACCGAAACGTAGCGCATTAATGATATCCTTTGGCAAACACAAACACAAATACAGCCAGGCAAATACTTGCACACACGCACACACATTTGCAATTTGAGCAACATGTCAAAGCAAACAAACATACAACAACAGCGCCACTGTCAATAGGAAAACTACTAAAGTGGGTGGGAAATTTAAGGGGGTGCTGCTGTCGCATTTGTATTTGTTATGCTTACGCCTCGATTGTCCTGAAAAATCAACAAACCCATCGATGGCTACTGACGTCTAAGCGCCAAATGGGTGTGTATTTTAATTAAACCTGTTTTTCGAAGGCATTTATCAGATGCAGACAGGATGTGTACCTGAACGCACCCATCGTCCCACTATCAGGTGCTAAAAACAAAACTAGACAATGGGAAGAAAAAAAGGGGAAAAGCAGCACAGAGAAAAATAAGAAAATCGTTGTACTATTATTTTAGAAAAACAGAGATTAACTTTTAGTATTTAAGTTCTGTTCATTTAAATGTCGTGATTAACGTGTTCTTTTATTTTCTCCTTAATAACAAAACATCGGATCTACCTAGAATTATTCTGTGTGGATCCAATAGCCATCCAAGCTAGAAGCTAACATGTTTTACTGTTAATGGACTTTCGATATTTGCAGGAAGTTATGGCAGCTTGATTTATGTCCATGCCTTTTTCCTTCGTCTGCCGACCAGCAGGTAAAGTCGTTTAATTATTGAACAAGAGAGGGCAACCGAATGCTTGTCTGGCAATCAAATTTGAAATAGTCGGGCATAAAAAATGTAAGCAGATTTTCATTGGCATTCTGCCATTGCTATTACTTACTAACATCAAATAAAACTCGAGTTTACAGCACGGCACATAAAGTTCTCAATTTGAGGGAGAATCGAGCAAACACTGAAATCAAAGTAAGCACCTAAGCAGCTTATGCAAAAGACAATCGAAACATCCCTCCCCGACTTAAATATCTCTTCGTATTTTATTCTTATTTTACAACGCCAATAGGCAAAAAGTGTTAAACAAAATTTGCGTCTGGCGTTTATTGAGTGGAACGAACGCCTCAGTTCGAGCTGAATGGAAAATGTAAAAATGTAACCAGGCAGTCGGAGAGTAAAAGCAAAAGTTTAAATTACTTTCTAGTAAAACTTTGATCCGAGACAAAAGAAATGGGCTAAAAAAAGAATGCAGGAGAGATTAATGCTTAAAGCGAAAAGGGTAAAATGCTGAATTGTTAAATAACTAATGCATGGCCAATGAACTTGCCGAACAAAAGTTTGCGCTACTTATCTCTATATTCCGTTTTGTCTGCTTTGGGTTATAGAATGGTTGCGTTTTTTAAATAACATATTTGATTTCCGATTCAGCAAAATCATGGTAATAGAAGAACATACAAATTAAAAATTTCAAATATGTTTAAAATACTAAATAAATTGAATATAAATAAAATTAAAAAGAATAATTTTAAAGATCAGCAATAAAAACATTGATTTTGAATAAACCTCCCAATGCAGGCTCCAAAACATCGCATTTTATGTATTCCATAATTGTACATTCCGTCGGTTTTTATTCAAACTCCAGTCAATATTAAAAACTAAACATATATGCATTCATTTCGTATGCACTTTTCGAGTGCAATTGTAATTGTAAGTTAATTGTAAGTGGGGGCCCGATCAATGGACGCTGCTTCCAGGATGACCTTCATGATCTTGTCCTTGGCAAACTCGGAGGCGTCGGTGTTAAGCTGTCGAAGTCGGTCGGCTACAAAGTCCCCGAAGACCTGGGACGAATCCTTCTGGTTGCGAAGAGCATTGGCCACCGCCTTGTTGACCATATCCTCGTCGACGATGCTGATGGTGGACACTTCGCCCTCGCCTTCGATTTCCTCCTCGAGTCTCTGCTCCCCGCCGGTCAAGGAGCAGGTGGAGAACATCACCTGCTCCGGTTCGTACAAGGCCAAATTTTCGATGATTTGCTCGTAGTCCACCGACTGGTCCGAGGCATTAGACTTCTCCTTCTTCACCGCGGGAGTTTTGGGCTGGGCCTTCACTTTGGCTTTGTAGGCGGCGGTGTGGGAACTGCTTGCCGAAGACCTGTGCACATCTTCCGCGGGTTTCTGGGAGCAGAAGACGCAATTCCAGGTTATCGGGGGTTTAACCCCAACTTCTCGAAGTACTCACCAGATGGGGTTTCAGATCCAGGTGTTTCATGTGCTTCTTGGTGGCTGCATGAGCACGCAGATCACTGATTTTGGTGTTTACACAGCACTTGCAGAAGCGGCAGTGCGCTCGGTAGGAGTCGTCCGGGTCCCGGCGGAGCCACGCCCGGAACTCCTCCATTTGCAGCCACACGTCGCGCAGTTTCTGCTTGTAAATCTTCATATTTCACCAAGTAAAACGATAATAAACGCAATGAAAACTAATTACACAGCGCAGGGCAGCAACAATGTGAATGCAATAGTGATGACAATAACAATGCTGAAAGGGACGCCTGACGCCAGTGTTGCCAGTTTGCTGGCAGAAAAAAAGCTGTTTCTAGCGGTAGAGAAAAAAAGCTACTTATCAGAGGGCGAGAAAAGCTTTAAAAAAGCTAAAACGTCACAGAGCGCAAGTGTGCTTTTGGTGCTTGGTGCTTGTCTGATATCTATGTGTTCAAATATTAATATACATTTGTTAATCAATTATCAAGGTTCGAAATTACTTATATGAAAAAATCAACTAAGGTATAAATAATTATTTTTCAACTAAACTAATTATATTAAATTAGTATTTTATGTTTTTAATGATACACAATCCATAACTATTATCCCCAATTTTATATTTTTTAGCTTGATAAAATAGAGATCTGGCCAGAAAACAGATGATCTGGCAACACTGTTATCTCAAAATATCACCAGAATAGTAAAACGATGAATATCGCACAATATAAGGAGTACAGCATGACGATCGATCTTAACTTATCGATAATACAAACGAATTGAAGAGCCGCCAACAACTTTTACTTTTTAAATACATAAAAAAAATTTTTTTAACCTTCCAGGTGTTTTTAAAATAATAAAAATAATAATCATTTTGATATGTGGGACATTTTCGTTTTTAAATTTCACTGTACAGAAATCGTTTGTGTGTGTTTTTTATAAGCCAGTTAATCGTAGCCGCTTTTCAAATTATTTTTGCAAATCACCAAATGGGCAAACTTTGCTTATCTGCCTATATCAAACCCTGCCGAAACATGTCCTTTGTAGTGGGTCCTCCAGGCATTGGCAAGGAACTGTCGAGCTGGCAGACAAACCGAACTCAACCGCAGACAACCAACTCAAATGGAGTTGCTCCTTTTAAAGTTCATTCGTTTGTAAATAATTTTTAGCCGGCGGCAAAATCGATACTTCACTTAAGATTTTTGCATATAGTACGACCATCGAAGGGCTCTGAAAATATTGTCAAGCTGCGCCAAACTTTCAACGGCAGCCGTCGAGCAAAGTTATATGAGCAGCGTATGCCGATAATGCATAAGAGAAAGGTCGGAGGACCAAAGGAGAAATGGCATAAGAGAAATGGCAAGCAGAAGCTGACAAAGTGAGAAGGAGAAATAAAAGCATAAGCCAAATGGGGAAGTTTTGCTATTAAAGTTTTTCATCAGCGCCTATTTGCCAAGCTCTCGAAACTTGGCCCTAAACCCGTTTGTCGGCGGGCGAAGGCCAAATATTTGTCAGGCAATTAAATGTTTACTGTTTTTATTATATGTTTTTGTTTGTCCTCCCCTCCTGTGCATTTTAATCGTGACAAAGGAGACGATAGAATGGGCTGAAGTCGGCTTTCCGGCTAAAATTAATCACACGCCTCGTTGCCGCAGTGCAAACAATAAGCCAAAGGCTAAAAGGAAACTGCTTTACCCCAGTACAGGTCTATGTGCACCTCCGGGACTCTAAAAATCTACAGACGGAAATTGTATATTTTTAACCTTAAGGATATTTTACTATTAAAGATAAAAAAAAAAAAAATTTAGTTTAAAAAAGTTGTTTACCAATTATTTAAAGCAAATTATACAATTTTTTCATAACCCGAAATTTTTAAAATTTCGATAAATAAATAAAATATACACAAAATTCTAACTTGTGCCACATTAATAGCTAGAGTTAATTTTAAATCCGTTTTTCGTCTACCTTACCACAATTGTTGAAACCAATTAATATACCATATCCATCGGCAGCCATTCGATGGTAATGCGATTTGCTGGCCAGCATTTGAAGCGACTCGTTGAGGCGGATCAACATATTATTGCCACTCAGTCCAGCAGGCTGAAGTTGAACTCCGTCCCGTCTCAACTTCACTGTATATGCAAATTAATTAACAACACTCGTTGGAGCCATAGTAAATTAATAATTTAGCCAGACATTACGCATACGACGCATCGGCTGAGTGGCAGTAAAAAGCTGTCCAAAAACGCGGTGGAGTTGGGACAAGAGTCATTTTAATTACCACATAACAAGGCAGCGGGCCACAAATGGCAACTGGGAAATGGGAAATGCGAAATGCCAGAGAAGTGGAGTGGGTGCGCGGAAAACGGAGAAGGGAAAGCATGTCACGCTAAATGGGAAATGTTGCGAATACGACCTGAGGGCACAAGTGCCTCAGTGTGTGGAGTGTGCGTTTTATGACATTGCCAATTTACAAAATTTCATAAATATAAATTGGGTTTAAATGTTAAAATAAAACAATTAATATGGACGTCGGTAAACGGGAAAGTGTGCGCTCCATTCTCCGCCGAAAACGTTCATGGGTAATTTTCACGAATTTAGCAAACATTGGAGGAGCCCTGAATAATTCAGTCGGAATTATGATTGCATTTCCCCGAGAGCGAGTGAACACGAATCGGAAATTAGTCAAACAGAAGCCATACATATTAACATCGAACTTTTGGGCAAATCAAAGCCGGGAAAATAGCTCAATTCAATCCAGACACACAACAAATTTATTTAGCCATCAACAATTTTTTGTGGCCAGTTGAAAAGCGCTGGAAATTGTTTATGGCTGTTACTGTTCTTCAACATTTCATCAGTTAGCGATAAAATGGCATGACAAATGAACGGAATTCGTTGGCAATTTTCCTTTTCACTGCCACCATAAATTCGCACTAATAAAACTGCGGAAAAGTGTGCTACAAAAAAGCAATTGAAAGGGCATCAAAAGCGAGTGCAATAAATACGACTTTAACAATATGCTGTAATTCTTTTGAAGCCCGCAATCAAAGCTGAGTTCGTGGAGCTCAGATGAAATCTTTGACTTAAAGTCGAAGCTATTAAACGGTGAAGCATAGCTAACAAATCGATATTTAATGACAAAGCTTAGTCACACCCACCCACCCAAAAACACGCCCTCAGACTAACACTCGCACACTCAAACAAAGCATGCACATACATCATTGTCAATGTCAAAGTGTCAAAGCAAACTTGCAGTGCACAAAGCTAGCGGCGCATAGTTATTACACTGAAAGGAACAAGAATCGTGTTAACTCCATTAAATTGATTTTTTTGGACTTGGATAATATATACTTATTAACCTTTAACTTTGTAAGCTATATTTTTTAGTCTCTAAATTACAAGAATTAAATTTACGAATACAAAAAGGTTTTTTTTAGGACCATATCTACCCCATTTCTCCTGTGTACTTCTCAGTTTTCAATCCTTAGATGGTAGAATCGTCGGGCCGACCCAAGTCAAGTGCAATAAACCCTCGAACCGAATGGTGAGTTTTGCATTTTGGCCACGCCCACATTATGCCTTGCCCCCCGTTGAGCCCGCAGTTATGATGTTACAGTAAGCAGCAAGTAAACTGCAATTTGCGAACAAAAACTTTGCTTGCGACAAACTTTACCCCCATATGTCCCTCTCTTTCGCTTCCCCTGCTTCTCTCTCTTTCAGTCGCAATGTTTTTATCTCTTTCACTCCGCTTAGCAAACGGGCAACAATTTGAACTGACAAAGTCCGGCGATAAAAAAAATGTTTAAGTACTTTAGTTGCGCTCCGAATGCATCGCACAAAAGTTTATTAAACAAACAGGTAACGATAAAACTGAATGGCAGAGGGACCAAGGAAAAACAAGGATGATTCACTCCTTCTGCTTTTCTTTTTAACAGATGTTTCAATGAATAACAAATTTATAGTTTCCTATGTTGTTGGGGTCACCAAGACTCGTAAATAATACAGAAAGAAAAATGAAAATTGGTATGACAACAAAAATAGTGGATCGAAGGGTATTGGTCTTAAGAGTTAAAGCATTTAAATTCAATAAACTTTTAAGTGTAAATATTTTTTGAAGACTAAACCTGATATTTATTTTTAGACGGAATTGAAAATAAACGTTTTGACAGTCCCTGATACAATAAAGTTAAGTACGATTTATTTAGAAGACTCCCTTTCAATGATTATAACAACGCAAAGTCCAAACAATCGGGTGTCAAATTGACGAGTAGCTTGTCTCGTAATAAGCCCCTTACCTTTAACAATGTACAGTCATCGCCATTCTCCTGTCGCCCTGTCGTCCTTCACCCCCCAGTCTGCCACGCCCCCACCGACTCTCCCCGTCCTTCAATTGTATGTACGCCGCTCGCATAATCAATTATGCGTCTGCAGTGCGTCCAAAGTTCTCTCTAAACTTGGCAATTTATTTGCACCGGAAACTCAACATAAATCAAACTAATTTCTCCTGGGATTTTTCAGCACAAGTTCCAACGTGTCCCATTCGCTGTCTCTGTCCCGCTCGCACCGTTGTTTTCGGTCACGTGTTTAGCTGCGTGGGAGGGAGCAGGACAAAAGAGGTGGAGGCATGGCAAATTGAATTTGTCGCGCTGTGTTGCATAATTTGAGGCGCATTGTGCGTCTAATTGGCCAACGAAAGCAAAGGAAAAGTGAAAGCCACGAAGACGTGAGGGAAAATCGAGCGGTGTCCTTATTAGACAGGTTTTGTTCTATATTATCAATGGCATTGCTTCGGGTAAACACTAATTTTATGAGACGTGCCTATTCAACTGGGCCGCATTGTATTCAAGCCGCTTGTTGACTTCGGTTTTCGGAGACATCACTCATCTGAGTTATTTTGGTGTCACTGCCAGAAGAAATGATTTAACGGATTTAGGCAAGGTTTCAATTTATCCTGGCTGTATTTTTTGGGGGTTTTATTTATAGCATTTACACTGGAAAATTTATCATTGTGGTCTGTAAAAGCATTTAAATAATATAAAAGATATTTTCTACAATTTGTATTATAGCTAATTGAAATTTATTTATTTATTTCTAGTTACTTTGAAATATACTTCAAATGTAGGTAAGCCCCCATAACAACTTAACCAACTATCAAAATTCAAGGTTCCCAAAATGGAAATGAAAAACACAGATAATGCAGCGCACAAAGATGAATTACCCATGGAACCTCAATTAGCAGAGGTCAGTTTAAGGGATTATCGGAACAGCAATCAGTTGAAATCGCTGGGTAAGGACTTTTCGTTGCCCAGGAAAAAAGGAATGTCGTGGACACGCTCAAGGACTTCTGGGCGAAAAAAGAGCATTATGATTTCATAGTGCGGATTGGAAAACACGATTTTCCCTGCTATCGTCTGGTATTGATGGTCGAGCTAGGAATCGTCAGAAAGAGAAAGGACAAATTGGAGCTACGATTACCAGAGGATAAGATCTCACCGGAGACCTTTGATCGAATTTATCGCTGGATGAATGACGAACAACCGTTGGTGAAGCGCACAGGAATCGTGAGTCTCCTGAAAGCTGCTAATTATCTGCAGATCCGCGAGTTAACCAACCAGATCTGGGACTGCCTGAGTCACGAAAGGGATTTCGGTGAGCACCATGCCCTTCAGGTGGCTCTGGATGCATACTGCTGGAAGGATAAGAATCTGCATATCCTGATGCTGCAGAGGATCCATTACTTCTTCCTCAGCTTTGTGGCCTCCGTGGAGTACCTCGCCTTGCCACTCAGCAGTTTGAGCCACGTGTTGTCCTCGAATGAAATAAGGGTTAATAGTGAGGCGGAAGTTTTCTATGCCGCCATCCGCTGGCTCAATCACGAGTGGCCCAGTCGCAGGATCCACGTAGAGGAGGTGATGCAAATGATTCGACTGACCAACCTGCCCAACGAACTGCTCGTCAAGATGGAGGCGCCGGTGGGCGATGTAAGTGTCGACCGCATCACACGGATGACCAAAGTGCACGAGCGCATTAAGAAGGCCGGGTGAGTGCACTCGAAAAAACAACTATTTGGTCAAAGATCTATGTAAAATATTATCCAACTTTGTTTGGTATTTCCAAAAACCCTATCTTAAATTTAATATTTATTCTTAACTTGTAGCTTGTAGCTTGGCTGTAACTTGGCTTGCTCTTAATTCTTTTTCCTACAATTCAATTTTCCAAGTGATTCCATTGATTTCTACTGCTAATTACTCTGGCTGTCAATTAACTGTCGGACCTTCTCATTAGCTTTGACCAAATTGTGATGCTGTACAACGACGGGTCGCAAGTGTACGGTCAGATTTATGAGGTCTTCCAAGTGCGAGAGCTGCAGTCGCGGGGATTCATTTGCCACAACTTGGCACCTTACCACCAACCGGATCCCAACTCAAATGGCAATGCTTTCAGCTACGCGGATTTCCTTAACTATTTGGGTGTCCTGCAGTCGCAGCCCTTGGACGCCTTGCAGGTCCTCGGAAGGCTTCCCTGATGGCGCAAATGGCATCGAACCAAACCGCCTTCGTGCTCCGTCCTTCATGACTCCCCCTTCCCCTCTGCCCGACGACCTTGATGATGATGATGATGATGATGTGGCTGTGCAGCATGACAGCGATCGTGCTGCGTGGCAGTTACACCAAATTTGCATTACCTGGGCAGGTGTGTTCGCGAGGTGTTATTGCTACTCCCACTTCTCCCACGAAATTGATTCCAGTCGCGTTTTCACAAGAGAGCGGTTCGAAAAGTTTAAATACCTTGCTAACTTTTGTATAGATTTGTATATGTTGGAGTATGTATTAAATGAAATAAGTTTAAACAATGAATAAAACACATTTCTTTTTTTTAGAAGCAATTTTTAATGCCTAACTAACATTCCATTTAAAACCAAAAAGAATTTATTTATTTAAATGGAAAACTAAGCAATAACCTTTAATAAATTAAATAATTATTTGATAATTCTGAATATACTATACATTTGATAATTCTGAATATACTATGCATCTGTGAGCCCAGGAAAACCCTCTTTGCAGCCACGTCCCTGTTTTCCATCTTATTACACTTCCCCTGTGATTTTCGAAACAATTTCCTCATCAGCGGTAACTGTGAACCACATTTCCAGCATCGTCGTCGTTCTGGCCACATCACCTTGTTTCGGTTTGGAATGCTCGAGGCGCTACTTGGGAGCTTTTCACACACACACACACACAATACCCCCTCTGCTCCCTGGAATTTTCCGCCCACTCTGGCACACACCTGGCGTCGCCGGGAAATTGAAAATGTTTGTTGCTGCGGCAAGAGTCTGCAAAGTTGGCAAATCGAGATTGCAGTTTGCTGTGACGATGATGTTTACGAGGGAAACATTGCCGGCTGCCTTTCGGCTAATAACTGCAAGCCGCAGCTCCCTTAAATAATCGTTTGCATAATTAACAATCTCGCGGGGAAACAAATGCCTTGCATTTTAATAAAAAATTGTGATAAATGGAATGAATAGAAAACACAATTTTCTAATGTGAATAACAGTTTGTGTGGTCTAGAAAAAAAAAACGTGTGTGCATGTGGGTGGAACGTGTTATTAAAATCATAAATCTGCATTAAGCGCGTCTGTGTGGGCAAACAAAACGGCTTTATCAGCTAGACAACGCATTTTTCATACTTTTTTGCCACACATAAATTTATTTTAGGCGCTCGTTCGTCTCTTTTTTAATAAACTCTCCCTGAATTTCCCCCGCCAAAGCTTCGCACAGGGCTTATGTCGTCCTTTAATTCATTTTCCATACACACACACAGACTAAAAAAACAGCGGAAAATGATTAAAAACCACTTTAATATATCTTCTTTGTCACACTGGCACGCCATGGGGAAAATAGAATGTGGTTGGGGGCTTACGAAAAGCCCTTGTTGACTGACATTTAGGGCTTTAAATTTCTCTAGAACTCGCAGAAAAAAAGGGTTAAGAAGCGTCTGCAATATTTCAGCTTAAATTAAAATAAAGTTGGTTAAAGTTTTTTCACAATAAATGGTTTCATTTATTTAGTTTCTTTTATATTATTATTATTCTTTATTTAACCCTTGCTCGGATTAAATGGCGAAGGTCTTATATCAAAAGGATTCTTTCCTGGTGGCGGTGGGGGCAGCCAAACCCTGGCCTCTCCGAGAAAAGCTCCCAATAAAGCCGTAGATATGATTAAGAACAAAGAAAACTGAAGGCTCTTCATGTTCGAGATTCACTGAGCTAATCACTAAAGAACAATCCGTTTTTATACCCGACTCAGTGGATGGAAAGGTGATTCCCAATTAAAGATGACTTCACAGCCTTATCAGTTTGTTTAAAGGGGATTTATTCAGGAGGGGATCTTTTTGGTCGGACTTTTGATTTGAATCATAAATTCGTTGTTTGGAAACTATGAATAAATTATGAGATTAATAATTTATAATTTCCATTTTATACTGAGTTAGTAAGATAAGCACTTTCAACATTTATGTGCAAACGATTTCTATGCAAATATAACTATAATAATAATTCAAGCTGGCCAATTACGCAAACCTAAAGTGCCCCATTAATGTGTCGGTGGAATAAGGTAGTGAAATATATACCCCAAAACCCGTTCATTTTGAGAGCCAACTTGTATTGCAGCTATCGATTTTGTAGCTGTTCACTTTGGGCAAAAAAATAAAAGAAGAAAATAGAAGAGTGAAGGATGAAACAGACAAGAAAAAGTTCAAAATTACAACGCATAGTTGCGGTCAATTGTTAGTGCAAAATACCCCAAACAATTAGAAACCACAATTGCTGTTCTGGCCAAGGGAGAACTTTTCATTTTTGCTGTCAGGAATGCAGGCTGCAGTTTTCCCCCCGCAATCCCCCCTCATCGCCCTTTCAGCCCGGGGAAATCGCTCCAGCTGCAAATGCATTCTGAGGTTAATGCTCGCTGGCAAACGAAGGGCGAACATCGAGGCCCCCACACTTAACCCACTTCACTTCAGTTCAGTTCGGTTCGGTTTATAAACTTGCCCGGGCATTTCGCTCCTGACAGTACATTTGGCAAATTTTCTTTCTCCTCGGAGCTCAACTTTCCTGCAGCTGCAGCTGCAGTTTTCCATCCCCCTCCTCCCCCCTTCGACTCCTTTTTCCGCTCCTCTGTCAAGTGAGGCGGACATAATGCGATTTTAATACAGATTTCGCCCGACTCCCCGACGGAGTGTCGGTTGCGCAGACTGAGGTCTGTCATGTTGCATGACACTCCCCATGGGAGGCGGAATATCTGGACTCTGTGTGTTCGTTATTTATAAGCCCTTAACTGTTTATTTGCTGGCCAAAACGCTGCTGGCCGACGTGTGCCACATTTCATGCCAATCGCTTGATAACTGCGTGTCCGGTCGAGCACTTAAGCCGCTTACCGCTTACCACTTACCGCTTTTGCTCATTTCGCAAACGTTCCCCCGACTTTTGTACAATGGAATAATTATTTGGTAGATTTGCAAATTAAATGAGTCGAGCAGTGGGAAGTATCTTGCCAATTTTAGAGCTACTGCCGCAGCAGACATCTGTGCCAGTTAATTAGCTTCCATTGGGTATTAATAAATAGATGTGACAGTATCGTTTATGGGTGGTCCGAATACGATAATTTTGCCTATTTACCCATTTGTGGGTTGGGTCCTTATGTTGACTTTGGCATCGATATTAATAATTTACAAGCAAAAGTAACATTAAGATGTGCTTACTTACGATAAATTCGTTTTGTAGTTGCTTATTGAATTCTGTTTATTTTTCGGTAAATGTTGAGATATAGAGATACAAATTAAACAAATCTTAAGCAAGTGAAAGTAATTCCTATATTTAGAATACTGTACATCCCTTCTGCAATTAAACCCAAAGCAAATTAGCCCACTTTTAGCTGCTGTTTCGAAACTTGTATTGCACTTTACCTTCAACTCCTTCGTTTATGTTTTTTGGTGTGTCGACGGATAAGCACTTCAGGAACCCCCAAACATCAACCGTTTTTGGGTGGGCTCTGCAGCGGGATGTTCATGCTTTTACAATCCTATTAAAGTATCAGACAATCTAATCAACGGCAGGCGGCAGCTCAAAAACCGCGCGTCCTGCACACGCGCTAAACGTTGCCAAAAAGCGACGACCGCAGACAGGACGAAAGCTCAGCTTGCTGGGTTCTGTACAGTGGGTGGTGTAAGGTGGGTGGTGTACAGTGGGTGGTGTACAGTGGGTGGTGTACAGCGGGTGGCTGGTTGAACCTCCCAGGAAAGTGGGCTGCGGCAGATCCGCAATTGCTGACGCCATGGCTGCTTGTTGAAAGCACCTCCCCAAACCCAAACCCAAAGCACTTGGTCCGCAACTAAACACGCAGATAGACAAGCAGATAGCAACAACAGCAATCACAAGAATGCCAACAATGGCACCAAACAACAATCGCATTACAAGGCGAAATGTCCAGTAAAACAGGCGGAGGCAGAGTCGACTATTTGATGGCTTTTGGGGCTGGCTGCCAACGGAAGATGTAGGGAAGATGGATCCCACTTCCTCGAGAAGAGCAGACGGCGTGAGAAACTGGTTGTTAAGTTTTAAGAAAGAACAAGGAAACTAATGCAGGAATGTACAATTCAAAAGTGTGAGAAATAATCAAGTAAAGTAAACATAAATGCTAATAATTTAATAAGTAACCTTTACAATATAATTGAATATTGCTATGTTATTTTAAATATGTTTTAGTTTATCATGTTATGATTACAACAACAAATTCATGTAACAAACCCAATAATTTATTTTATATCCTCAACCTTAAATTGTCTTTTAAGTATATTTAAATCCCAGGTAAAATCTGCAGATTAAATCCCCGAAAATGGGGGGTTTTCCGTGGACTCACGCATGCACCTCCATTCGTGATTCGTGATTGTTGCTGTCTGAGTCGCATTGTCGGATCGGTCTGCGTCAGTTTAATTTGAATACACTTAAGTGTGTTGCGGTGTGCCTGGGAGCCGTTGCGAGAATTTCCAATTGAAAATCACTTCAAGTTTAATTTGATTGCCGCTCGGCAGCTGAGAGAAGTGGTTTCTCCATCTCCATCTCCATCTCCGATTCCCGACACCCCAACTGCTGTCCGAGTCGCATTTCCATTCTGTTCGCCGCTATAGCTGTCTCTCGATTTTAATCACATTTCGACCCGGCATTAATATTGATGAAAACTTGTTATGTTCTGCATAATTTCCGAGGCATCAGTGAAAACAGCAACATGTTTCAGTTGAGTCCCTTGGCCAAATAAAGGGAAAACTCGCACTCCTTAAGTTACGGTCGGTGAAGTTTCATTACTTGATTATTTCTGCGTGGGTGGCAAAAGAAAAGGAGCTGAAAAAATGCACGGAAAACGAAATTAAATCTCCAGGAGGCAAAGTCAACGAAAAACGGGCAAATGGAATGCGCCACGCAGACGAAACGAAACGAAACGCAAAGAGTCGAGGGCTGAGAATGTAATGCAATCAAGAAGCCAGAAAGGCGAAGCCCCCGAAAATCAGTTCGCCAAGAATGCGGAATACCCTTTACCTCTGCCAGCAGCTCCCAAACTAAATTGAATTTTTGCAGACTTTGGTTCTGGTAATAACAAAGGCTTAACAGTTTATTAACTTAATGCCAATAACCCCCTTCTCCTTCCATTTATCTTCGTTGGCAGATGACCCCTGATAAAGTGTGGAGGGTACCTACGTGCCCGGTCATAATCATCCTTCCGCCACAACGATGATGAACCCATTATGCCGCCCACAGCACACAATCCAGGTGAGGGTAAAAAAAAAAACAAGCAACAAAAATTGGATTTTCATTATTTACAGCATATTACACACACCTATACACACACACACACCAACACTCACTAGCCGGGGTCCTCGAGGTCCTGCTGGAGTCCTGCTGTTTGGGTATCGTGTATCGATAGGCATATGTGTCCATATATGCATCAAGTAGGCGGGCTGACTTTTATACGCCTGCAACGTGGCGTATACGTAACGACAAATAAAAAAAAAAGAAAAGGGAGCAGCCAGGATAAGAGTGAGATGGACAGATAGACAGGCTGACAGGATGGACCCTTTGGGCTAGGAAATTAATTAAATTAAGTCAACGAAAAGTGAAACGGCAGACGCACATAGTCGCTGGATCCCCACACACTTGTGCATTTCCTGTTATCCCGTTATCCTGCGAGCAGGAAGCAGGAAGCCCTTGCCCGCAGGACACAGTCTTTGACATTCATCGCTCTCTCTTTCTCGCTGTCTCTTTCTCGCTCTCGCCCCCTCGTCACTTTCAGTTGCGATGATGCCGCCTCTGCGTCCGCGATAAGCTCGCTTCGTTATAATCCTAATTAAATATTTAGGTTTACTCTATGGCTGTATTTACTCAACTCCCCCTCCTGTTTTGCTCCCCTTTTGTGTTCGCTGTTTTCTGCTCTCCTTGCTCGTCCTTATCTGATAAGCCCTTCGCTGGCCGGGCAAGGGTTAATTGCATTAGAGTTATGACAATTGCCAGCAAATTTGAGCTCGCGAAAAAAAAGCTGCAAAAGCAAATACGAAATGTGATTGCGAAAACAAACTCAAATACAGAACGAGGCTAATTAGATAAGTCTTCCCTCACGAGTTGCAAAAATGAGAGGCGCATTTGGGGTACAGTTGTGCTTGCAGTTTTCATTGAAATCGTATAAATTTACTTGGTAAGTTTGTTACCTTCACCATTTCATACACATTAAAGCACTTGAACTATGTACGTTTCCATACTCCAGCTTTTGTATACCAGACAGGATCAAATACTTAAGCGATATGGGAGAAACCCCTAAAAATCTATCTTTTTTTTAAACATTCCACTTTCAACTCCTTTGGAATCTCCTCCCACAGTTTTCTTGACCGTCTGACGTTCGCCGGCGCAGTTGAGACAGGGCGCAATTTGTTTTAATCAACAAAGTCAAAAAAAGGGGCACGTAGATCTCCATTCTGTGAGAAATTAAATAAACTTTGTGTTGGCCAAACAATTTGCCCATCGTCCGCCTCCGAAGCGTCTGCGGTTTTCACCGCCGTTCCAGACACAAAAAATGCGAAGGGCAGCAAATACGCTGACTGGCTTCCAGGACGAAGGACCTTTCGCCAACGGCTCGAACGTGACTCTTCGGCGAGGATAGAGGCATGCAGCATGCAATCCTTTAAAGCGGTTTAATAATGCACCAAGTTGTGGGCCCGAGACATTAATTTTATTGAGCACACAAATTTGTCATAATGAAGTCGGAGTCTTAGCCTCTTCGATTAGCCAATTGCCCAGTGAAGCCGAGTAATAATAGCAATAAGTTCGACAGATAAATGAAAATTCCAGGCGAAGAACATAAATTATTTCAGAGGCTCTGATTTATTGGCTGACCACAGCAAATGCCACAAACAAGCTAAAAAAGATTAAGGAAAGGAAAACGTTTGGCAGGCTTCTTTCCACTTTTTAGACAACAAATTGCGGCCACTTGGCGATTCCCTATTCTTTCATACTGATTTTAAACTATTTTTTGTGTTTTTTACTGCGGTTAGAGCATTCCTATTTCGCTCAACTTTGATCTGTTGCTGTACTCGTATTTATTGTGTGTCCATTGTGTGTTATCAATAAAGCAAATTGAATTTGCTGCGGTGCAAAAAAGCCACTGAGGTCGATCAAGATAAATGTCAGCGGGAAAAGAGAGACGCCGCAAATTGCGAGCCAAGAAAATGGGAAATTGCCTCGAAGACGTTTTAAGCTCGAGGCGATTGTTTGCTGTTGTTTGCCATTGTTTGCAATGGTTTGTTCTGTGATTTCTTTTTCAGGGGGGATTTACAATTGGAGGTCTTCAGTTAAATGCATCTCCCCGGATTGTTTTGTCTTTTGCTCCCCAACAATGATAAATGAAAGAGGTTAGCCGATGATTTAGGGATCTCTTCCACTTGTTCTCACCCGCATCAAAAGCTTTGACATCTTCATTCCCCTCGCAACCTGCTTATTTATTTATCATCCTCACATACTTTGAATGTAATGAATCAAATCGAAGAGAATCGAAACGAATCGAATCGAATGGAAGCGAATGGGATCGCCTGAGTTTTGGTTCAAATCAACTTTGTGCGCTGCGAGGCGTAAATGTTTTATGGAATGATTTATTATTCCGGGGCTCTATCTGCTCTGTCTGCTGGCTGCGGGGGCGTGGCCCCGCCCCTAGGCCATAAAACATGGCCCTTATTTGTTGCCGGCCCTATTTGCCCCCGAAGGTCCGAAGGAACACGTCAAATCGATTGTTAACAACTGGGCTAACAAGAACAAATGTCGCTGGGATTGAAAAATTGTTATTTCTTTGTCTGCGTTTTGTTTTTCCTCGGCTTTTCACTGAGGTGAGGAAAAGCGAAGGCACCGTGGATATAATTAATGATTTTGCGGCGACAAAGAAATCGGAGTTTTTCTTTGTTGCCCGGAATTTAATTAGTGGTCGAGCGAAATCCCTTTGAACTTGCTGGCGGTGGTGGCCCAACTTGATTGGAACAAATTCAAATGCTCTCCTTAGTGGTTCTTCCTGCCAATCCTCCTCCGTCTCAAGTTCTCTTCAAATTAATTACTTTGATTGCGCTGACGTTAATTACATGCATCTACCATTTACCTCTTACACCCATTTTTCTTTGGCTTGTGGAAAGCACACGAATGAAATTGGGCATAAAACAATGCACTTCCGCTTCTCCCCGACACATGGCTGCCTTCCGTTTCCGCTTTAGCGCCATTTTGCCAGTTTCCCCTATCCGCTGGGTTCAATAAACACCAGATCCTAACGTCTGGCTGAGACCAAAAAAGAAATGAAGGAGTAGAAAGGCAGAGCCAAAGAGGACATTGAAATTGTTGCCTGCTTTATGTTGTCATTCCATTAATTATCGTTCGTTATTTTAACTTTTAGCAGCACCCCCACATCGCCATTGTGCACTGTCTGCACTTTGCGGATACAAAAATACAAAAATGCGAAAATACCTCTGCCCCATAACGCTGGCCAACTCTTTTTGTCCCTTTGTCATTTTTTGCGAATGTAATTTTTTTTGTCAACGCCTTTTGTTTGCACATTAAATGGCATTGGCTCCCCAGCGCCATGTGCAATTGTCCTGCTCCTCCCGCCTTTTATCCTTCTCCGCGCCACAAAATTCCAATGGCCGATGGCCTGGGTAATGAATTACTAGCCACATGCTTTTTGTCCACCGCCCGCTGTCTCGCAACAATGACATTGCAGTTTTTAGTCGCCACCGCCGGCGGCATCAACAATTTCAGGGCCGCAGACGATTCAGGGATCCTCCTCCACGGGAGCATACCCCTAAAAATCGAGCACCCACAACCCGCTTTTTCTGCCGCCTGCAGGCCGGCTGAAATTATGCGACTTTAATTGTTATATGGCCATGGCCACTCTTTCAAGCTCTTGGCATTGAAAAATGTTCGAGCGTCTGACGGTCAAGCATTTTAATTAAGATGGCTTCGGGTTATTAAATGCGGTCTGTTAAAGAGCGTTGAGGAAATGGAAATTAACTTGAGTTTTCAACTGTTGAATTACTTGTATTAAAAATGTGAGTCTCTTTACTTTGCATAAATGAAGATTAGGCTTGGATAGGTTGTGAATTATTCAACATAAATAATGTCTAATCGACTGCCTTAACACTTACTCCTATTTTCACTTAGACCAGCCTAATCCCAAATCTTAAAGCAATTGCCGAAGTGCTGCCAACCACTCGCTGCGAAAAACAAATCCGATGCTCAAATACAGATTTTTCACTTAAACAGCTTCTAGTCCGGGGAAAATTCAGCAGCCAGCAGCTGAAATGAAAAATGAGTTAGGGCCGCCAGCATTCATCAGGCCAAGTGCCGAAACGGAGAAAATCGTAATGGGAAAACTAAGAAAAGCGTCGAGTCGAGGGCGGAAATGTGACACGTTGTACTTGAATGCTTCGCCTGGAAAAGCGTTTCCGGTTGCCGCAGAAATTAATTTCATTAATGCACGAAACTGGAGAAGCCAAGGGGAAGAAGCCGGGAAAATGAGACAGAGACCCATTTAGTTGATTCTCAGTTCTCGGTTTATTCAGGGAACATCGGAAACCCCGCCATTAATTTCCTATTCAAACTGCTTCTTTAGCTTGGCCAACTGGGTGAGGAATTCATCGCGGGTGGCGCGTCTCTCGTCGAGACTTTCCAGCGGAACCAGCTGCTCACACTGCCTGGCAATCTCCGCCAGAGTTTCCCGATCCTCACGAGTGTTTGGGGTTTCTCCATAGGTGGCACTTACGGCGGAGATCTCCCCTCCGAATCGCTGGAAGTAATCCGCCACTCCACCGGGAGCATTTAGATGGGCTGTCTCCAGGGATCCGAGAAGAGCATATCGCAATCCCAATCCCTGACTCAGTACTCGATCCACATCCGCCACGCTGAGGATGCCGGAAGCCACCAATCGCCACACTTCGTTCAGAATGGCATACTGTATCCGGTTGGTGGCGAATCCCTGGATTTCCCTCTTCAGAGTCACTGGTCGCTGGCCCAAGCTCAGCATCAGTTTGTGGGTTTGCTCCACAGCTTGAGGGGATGTCCAGGGAGCTGGAACAATCTCCACAAGGGGGATGAAGTATGGGGGATTGAGAGGATGAGCCACCAGCATCTGTTTTGGAAAGTTTAAACTTTATATACACATATTCTAAAGGGAATATTAATTCTTTACCTGTTGCTTCTTTTTCAATCCCTCGCTGTAAAGCGAAGGCATAAAAGTGCTCGTGGAACTGGCCACCACTGTCTGCTCCTCGAGGAGCTCATCCAACTGGGAGTACAGGGACTTCTTCAGCTGCAGGACCTCGGGAACACACTCCTGAATGTGCAGAGCCTCTCGGGTGAGTTCCTCCAATCGAGTGGTGACCTCAATGAGAGCGAACTGCTCCGAGGCACGCAACTTCCCCCTCAGCGAACCCTTCTCCTCCAGACTGTGCAGATCCTTGTCCAATTCCTGCAAAGCAGTGGATAGCTGGCTTTCCAGGATGTCGTACAACTGGACTCGATAGCCAGCCGCTGCGAAGAGCATCGCCCAAGCTCTTCCTATCAGTCCACTGCCCACGATCCCGATCTTCTGGCTGCTCATTTCGAACTATCAACTGCGAGTGGGATGAAAGCCCCACTTTCCGATTTGGATTCCCATTGTGGAGCTGCATATTTATCGCCAGCGGTTCAAGTTCAGCCAGCAATCACATCAGTCATGCGACACTATGGTCCACTTTTGATAATGAATTGTTTGTTTATGAGCTTACACTGAGGGAAAGGGTTAGAGGGAGGCAAAACAAGTAAGAAATAAATATTATATCAGACTTATGGAACACTTAATTATTATAAAATAAACAAATTGCATACTCGTTTGTTATTAGGAAAATTCCTAAAGAGGAAATGCATTAAATATAAATATGACATTTCGAAATACTCTTTACTTAAATGACTTTAAACAAGTTGCTGGCTTGTATCTTTGAAATATATTTTTAGAAAATCAAATAATCCAACACAAAAAACCACTCACCTTGCCATTTTACCCATAAATTTCCCAAAACACCTACCTATACCCCTTTCCTTGGCCATTTTGTAGCAAAAGCAATTTTCTTTGAAGTCTGGACAAATTTATTAATTAACTTCGGTTTACATTTCAAGTTCCAGTTCAAGGTGAGCCCACCTTCCACCTCGCTTTTTATGGCATCATTAAATTTAATTGCTTATCAACTTGGAGGGCAGCGTAAAATTCTCGGCAGCCTATTAATTGATAATCCCATATTTCGTGATTTATTAAAGCTTAAGTTTTCACTTTCGGCTTGGCAGGCGATAAGGTGGTTCTGCTTTACATGCTAGGGGATATATATTCCGGGGCAGGAGCGTGACAACCCGCCCAGCTGACAAAAGCCTGCATGTAATACTTTTATGCATATTTCGCGCATATTTTTCTGACATTGTAAGTGGCTGAGGCTGCCAGCAATAAATTATTGAATAAGCACTGCCAACAACAACACTAACAGCAGGAGAAACAACAACAACAACAAAAGCAGGAAAAGACAGCGGTGGAGAATGGAGTTCTGGGACGGAGTCTCGTTTTCATATGTAAACCACATTAATCATACGCCCCGTTTGCGTTTTCATTTACGCCACTGACATATGAAAAAAATGTGAACGAATGAATAACAACAGCAATAACAGAGGAAGAGCAGAAGAATCGGATGCGGACTCGGATTCGGATTCGGATTCGGATGAGCAGTGGGGAAAACCGAATCCCCAAACGAAACTGTTAGGCAGCCGGGTTAAATCAGCCATGAAATGCCATCTACACTATTGCAGGCATGGAAGCCATAAAAATAATTCAACAAAGGGCCAGCCAGAAATATTTATACACAGAGTGCGTTCGCATTGAGAGATTCGCATTTCACTTCATTGCATTTAAATGCTTGTTAATAAAAATGGAAAATGGAAATCAATGCCAGATGCAAAGGGATGGCTGTTGAAAGCGTTTACGTTTACGTTTACGCTCACAATTGCTGGTTTCCCCTTCATCCTGGCCAAGGACTCAATGGAGAGGAAGGAAAAACGCAAAAAATTAATCCGAATTTCGATACGCCAATTACACGCCATATTTTATTTATTTGCCATTTATCCATATTTATTTTAAATTTGAAAAGCAAGAAAGGTTTTACTTTATTTATATATGTGTTGTTATTGATTTCATATACCCATGTATACCTAAAGGTGTTTTCGGTTTCCTTGAAATGAATTTATTGAAATATTTTCCCTTTGCAGGTGGTCTTGAATCGAAACTAATCTAATTAGAAATCCCTGGGTCACCTTAAAGCCAAAGGATCCCTTTCTCGGTTACATCTACCACCGCCAATCAAATGCGGTCAGCTGTCACAGGAGCAGAAATCAAAATCACCAACAAAAAAGTAAAAACAGCTGCAACATCAGCAGCCGTAAAAAAAAGACAACCTCAAAATCAATTAATTTTATTGGCCATCTTCCTGTGCCCTGAAAATCCGTCCGTGTGCGGAAAACTGAAATGTCATTGTGGTGAAAAACTATTTCCCAAACAGAGTGCAATTCCCCGTTTATTTCGACCTTTTTCGTGCTGTCACTTTCGGTGAGGGTATTATGGTTTAGCATTTACATCGGTCTGGTAATAAATTAAATCGGTTTAAAGTGATTGTTTTAGAAACTCCTATATCCGCAGGGCAAACGACAGCTAAGCGATTACTACAAAAACTTTTAGAAGGATGAGGTCCTTAAAGTTGAACACTTTCTAAGTGACAAGATACGAGTATACGAAAATAGTTTCAAATGATACTTCAAGATGTTTATGATTTTATAGTGTAATTGCATTTATTAAATTGTATATACAATTTATATGTTCTCTCCTTGTTAGTTAGAATTTAATTAAAGGGTATTTCAACTTCGTTTACTGTAGGCTAGCACCCTTTGCCTATTTTTTATATTGCTTGTCGTTGGGCTGAATCTAAATCTGAGTCTATCTCGTCTCTGACATTGACAAAAGTGCAAAGGATTAAAAGTTGTACACGGGGCCGAACAAAAGCCATTGAGAGGTAACCGCATAGATACACACGTTCCCCTGCCTTTGTGTGGATATTTTTTATTTTTTGTGTTTTGTGTTTTTCAGCCGCACTGAGGAATTGAAGTCACGTAGTTTGTGTGCAAATTTTTTGCTGCTCCACTCGCAGGGGGGAAATCGTTCGTGTCCGTGTTCCATGTCCGTGTTCGGAGAGGTCCCTTTTTTGATTCGGTTATGTTGCTAAATTTAATTCTTGCTTAGCCGCCGCACTCTCTGATTAAATTTTGCCCCCGACACTTACGTGATTTCAATGCGTAATTTATGCCAATAGAGCGTAGTCTGCTCCATATGGACTGGCCGAGCCCGAAACCCAAAACCCGAAACCCGGAGTCTGGCAAACTTTTAATTAGTTTAGTGTCACCCGAAAACGCTGCTCCCTTTGAATTCGCAGGGTATTTGCTTTTGAAGAGGTGCCAAGTAGCAAACACACTCGGGGATTCAGAGATTTTGAGATCCAGAGATTGCGAGATCCAGCAGATAACCGCGCTCACGTGTTAATGTCTGTTTGCTCGCCTCAAAATGCCTGAATGCCATGTGTGTCGTGCGCTTCCTCCGGCTTAGATTCTAATCGGGCTCCGTTGCCTTGGCCACACTTGTCACCCGGCCACGGAGATTCGTCCTTTGGTCCTGCCCTGGCTAACACCCCTCCAACCCCCCTCGAAACCACCGAGTGCCCACACCCCCAATTTTGCCATCCAATTAACTTGATGTCGTCGCAGTTCCGAGGTTCCGAGGTGAAAAGTTGCAGCCGAATCAAATGTGCCAAAGCAGGGAAAAGTCGCGTGACTGTCAACAAAGCGAAATCTCTGCCAGTGTAGCTCCGGATAAAAAAGCGGCCAAAGTTCGCCTTTGAATGCTCTTAGCAGGACTCTCTCAAATCCTGCGAGGGGAATCATCAAAGGATTTGCCTTTTAAGAGGGTTAAATTGCACGGGCAACCCAGATTACCGAATGCATTTTTAATTTAATCAGGAAGTTGTGTACATATGTGATGAAAGCACAAGCCCATATTTTATTGAAGAAATTTTAATTACAGCTAGAGTTTCTGAATGTTTTATATAAGTATTCGAAATTTGTAAGCTATCCATTACTCCAATTATCCTACAAATAGGGCATACGACTATTAATACTCTGCGGAAATAAATGCTTCCAGCTCATTTCTTTTCCGTTTGTTTGTCTTCTGGCTCTTTGGCGTTCTCTCCTTCGTTTGCTGGCTTTCAGCCCAATTTAATAGTTTTTCGATTTGTTGAAAACCGAATGCCAAAGCGCAGAAAATAAATTGTCACAGAAATGCCGGCCAACTTGAGCAGCTGGCCCTTGGCCCCCGCCTTCTTGCCTCCCAGTTAACCGCAAAAACCATGGCCCGAGGAGCTGGAGACAGAGAGCAGGACCAAGACAGGCAGAAAGGCAAAGTTTCCTGCTGGAGCATCTCGATGTGGAGCGACGACAGACTCCTTGGCCTTATCTTTATCAGTTTCGGCAGTGAAAAAGCGCAGCGATGTCCTTGTCGTCACATATCGAGTGCAAAAAGTTCGACGACTTGGCAGAGTCCGACCACGACACCCAGTACTTCCTGCCAGCCTTCAGCAAACCAAGAGAAACACTTAGAAAAATATAGTCATTAATGTAACTAAATTTAATAAAAAAAAAATAATAAAAAACAAAAAATAATTGAATCATTTTTCCTATCATAAAAGCGCAGAGCAATTCATTTTCTTTATAAGTAATTTTTAATGAACATGTTAAGTTGCCAATATTTTTTTTAGTGTACGCAGAACTACCCATCGGAATCCTCTTTCCTTTGCTCAAGTGAAGTTGTAAATAACTTGAGTATGATGGAGAATGTGAAAATTTTCAATTGAATTCATTGCGTTTTGATTGCACACCCCTCAAACACCCGAGATAATTATCAACTTAATAAAAAACCAACTAACTGTCATTTAAAATGCCCCATAAAATCGCATAAAAGCGCATAAAGTGCCTGGCACACATCGTAGTCGCTGAAGTCGTAACTTGTTGTAAATATGCTCGTGTGCTGAACATGCACTCAATGAATGAAATGTGTGCACAATGTTGAAAATAGTTGTGACACCGCCCCCTTTCCCCCTTCCCCTTAAAATGGGGGTGTTTCTTCTTGCTTCTCTTGTTGTTGTTGTTGTTCATACGGCTGGCAGGGCATGCATGTGTGTGTAGCGACATCCGCTTATGTGGACAGCACTACAGCATGATAAATTGATGTTTGCCGCTTTTAAAAATGCAAAGAAAATGTGAAGGCACAGGCGAGAGGATATATATTATGGGGTAGGAGAAAGTATGAAATGACTTCTACAAATGGTCAATACAATATCAAGATCTGTTCCTATAAAAAATACTTGAAAAATATTTTGGGCTCAATTTAAATTTTAAATGTTTAACAGCAGTTAGCTTTTTGTTAACAGCACAACAGAGTTGCCATTTCGAAAAATATGTAACTTCAATTGTTTACCCTAGGTGGCGCCACTCCACGCATAAAAGCTAAAAGATGGCGCTTTCCTTACATTTAGTTGGCGGGAAAATATTTTCATACGCTTTTTTGTACAGCAAACAATATGATCTGCAAAGGAACAGACCACCTCCAACCAATAAGAAATTCATTTGAATTAGTTTTACTTTTCATTTTATTTAATGAATTAATAGATTTTGAAAAGTTTCGGGAAAAGACCTGCAAAAGAGATAAATAAAAAATTAGATAACAGCCAAAACAGGTAAATATTTAATAATTGCAGTGATTTATCAGTTGGGGAAATGACTTTCAAACAGCATGGTGTTTCTCAGTTTAAAAACCACGGACGGTATTTTCATCAATCTAAATGAACAAGGAAAATTAAGAGATTTTCTTTACCTTTTTTTTTAATATGATCCCGTACAAGTATCTATTGTATAGCGGCATTTAAAAAATCTGTAATAAAAAACATACGTAGTTGTTAGTAATGAAAATCGAAATATGAAAACTTCATTTTTTATATAATTTACCAGTTGGGGAAATGACTTTCAAACAGCATGGTTTTCTCAGTCTAAAAACCACGGACGGTATTTTCATCATTTTAAAATAAAAATCAAACTTTTATTTAAATTACCTTTAGTTTTCTAGTGAATAAGTTCTTTGGTGAAAATAAATATTCTCCGCCACAAACAGTTTTTTTGTGTCATTTTTCTGCAAACAAAAACAATATTACATATTAGTATTGATACTCAGCGGTATTCAAGATTCATGTTTCAAATGATTTATCAGTTGGGGAAAGAAGACATAAAATGTCAGCATGATTTTTCTTTGTTATAATTCCACGGACGGAAATTTTCATCATTAAAACAGAATAATAATAAAAAAAATACAAAATATTTTATAATCACCTTTACTGTATGTAGTCGCTTTTCTAGAATTCCCGAATATATTGATCTGCAATAAAAGGGAAAGTGTGTATTAGCTGTGAACTTCAAAGTAACATTTTTCAGTTTTATCGCAAAAGAAAATGCTTTCAGACAGGGAAAGTGAACAGCATGGTTGTTTTAGGGTTCTACTCAGAAGAGGGAATCCTGAGATAGGATAATATCATCAGAGCATTTGCTTTCCAACTAACTAATAAACAAATAAAGTTAATTATATGTGATTACCTTATGTTTCCGTAATCATTCAAAAGTTCTTGATTAAGAGTGTTTGCCATAATGAAATCTAAAAACAAAAAAATTCTATAATTAGATGTCACATGATTTTAAAGATCATTTTCAATTTTCTTTTGAAAGCGTTTAAATCAGACAGGGAGAGTGGACAGCATGATTGTTTTAGGGTTCTACTCAGAAGAGGGAATCCTGAGATAGGATAATATCATCAGGGCAAACGCTTTTCAAATGAATATTGATTGTTAAACAAAATATGTGCAATGTATGCATACCTTTTACTTCCAGTCCCCCATCAATTTTTACATCCCCAAAAAGGAATGTCAACCCCATTTGATCTGTAATAAAAAAAATGTACATGTTTAATAATAAATCAAATAAAACCACTTAACCGAAATTTCAATAAATTAATCAGCTTCAAAAAGTTTGTAACATGTTTAATTCTAATGAACTATACTAGAAGTAACATCACATAAATCATTTAATGTCTTAGTAATGATTAATAAACCTACCTTAAATAAACGACAAACACGGAATGTCTGCTTTAGACGGCCATAATCTGCAAAAAAAAACAAAAAATCATTAGTCTTGAAAATGAAACAATATTATAGGCACTCTGCATTAGTTGTAAGGATCAGTAATATTTCTCCGCATTTTTTACTCAGTAGAACGAAAGTTAATAGATATAAGGTATTCATCATACAAACTATTGCAGCAATATAATAAATTTTACTTGAATATTACCTTGGCGATTTAAGAATGAAGGTTGTCATCCCTTTTCAGTCTTATAAAATCTGCAAAATAAAAAAACACATTTTTAACACTCTGAATACACCATATATATTTTTTAATATCATCAAGTTCAGTTGCAAAAATTGCAGCCATTTAGATTTAATCAAAGAATTCGTACGGTAATTACTTTCATCAATAAAAAAACAAAGCTAAGCTGAAATCATAAACGAACGCTTACCTTGTGTATTCGATGCCGAAATTATTTTTATTTAATTTCCTTTTGAAAGATATCTAAAATAAGAACGAAAACTTCATTATTTGGATGTAATAAAAAATGATATAAAAGTAACTTTGGTATGAAAATCAGTTACTATTAAATAGCAGCCTTGGGGTTTAATATCACGGAAATCAAACGGTAATTTCTTGTCATCAATTAAATAATTTCTTTTATAACTTTGTATTAGACTTACCACTTTGTGCAACCATTTCTTTTTGGAAGAAGATTCAGCAGATGCTAAAATTAAAGAAAACTTAGGTTAGGTATATATCGCCATATTCTCTTAATTTAAATATTTATTTTTAGAGTTTCAGAATCCTTTTGGTTAATTTTAAGTTGAGAATCAACAGCACTTTGTTCAGATTAAACTTATCATCAGGAAATTAAATTAAAAATATATTTTAGTCTTCATTATCTTACCTTTAGAACATTTTTCCAGATTGATCCATAAAATGGCGGCTTCTCTAAGACGGAAAGCTAAAAATAAAACAATTTGAGATTAATATAACCTTTCTTTTCAATTTTTTTTTTAAAACTTGAAACAAATAATGAGATCTCAGAATCCTTTTGGTTTAATTTTAAGTTGTGAATCAACAGCACTTTGTTCAGATTGAACTTATCATCAGAAAACGTAAAACTATTAATAAGTGAGAACGAGAAAGGAATAAATACCTGTAGAGGCCAATGCCGGGTGAATCTTTCTGCACTTCTTATTCAGACCACGTGTTTTGCACATCTAGAAAAAAAACGAAATTAAGGTTAGTTTTTAGCCTTAAACAATCTAGTCCAATGCAGTAGGACATGTAGTGTATCAGTTGGCCGTTCTTATTCTTTCTACAAGAAAGAATGACGAATCTTGCGACCCGGCATTCGACTCTTCAGAAAAAGAACATTCATCAAAAAAACAAGAAGTCCAAGAAAAATATTGGTTTCTTACTTTTAATCCGCTAATTGCGCTCGCATCCGAAATGTTTATTAGCTTATTTTTGTTTTAAAATATAAAGCCTTGAATTGGCTTTGCTTTAACGTTATCATTTTACTTTTCGTTGACCACGCGAATCCACCGAAAATTTTTTTATTAAAAGAATTTTCCAGATTTGCACGTCGCTTTTATAGATTTTAACATTTTAAGTGTGACCAGGGAAGGTAAGAATTTAAATGTGTAATATATCGATAATATATCCGCGTCGATGTATATTGGCGTTGCCAAATCGTCAAAACTGGCTTGACAAAATAAATAAACTATTTAATTTAATTAAATAAAAGCAGAATCACAAAATTATAACAGCTTCTTAAGGTACATAAAATATTTGTACACATTTTTTTATGCAACGCAGAAAACTGTAAATTGTCAATATAAATAAGATTTGATCATTTTATTGTTAAACAGTTTTATATTTCAAGTAAAAACACTGATATTTTCATATATAAGGCGTTTCTTCATACTTTTACAAACTATTTTTCATCATATTAGTATCTTCACTGTACATGCTCTTCTTCTTTTGTGGTTTGTGTACATTCTACACCAAATAAACGTTTCTTCAAAATGTTTGATAATAAAAGTGACAAACTTATGCTCGAAATAGAGGAGAATGACGATGATCCTGGGATGAAGCATCCCCGATGCGAGCATGGTCCCACGGTTTTGTTCTACCGGGAATCGCAGCTTCCTGGCCAAGGATATTACGCCTGTTCTGCTCATCGAGACTCGAAACTCTGCAATTTTCACCTGCCGGCGGATCAGTGGCCTGGTGCAAGATCTGGGAATACAGGTTCTATTAAGGAATACCCCGTATCAACCGGAAAATCACTAAATAAATCCATTCCTGATCCCACGTTAACCCTAACTGCACTTGATCAGGATAAAGTAAACGCCCAATATTTCTTTGACGAAGCAGCTCTTAACTTCCTGACCAATCAGTGTAAAAATATAGGAGCCAGGTTTGTTAATTTATAACCTTTCTGGAGTCTTATTAATCTTTTTACATCAGCAAGGTAATTTGCATGGGCGCACCACGACTACATTTCCACCTGCGCGACAAACTGCAAAGTTTTCTGTTAGATTTGGATGAGAGATTTGCAAAGTATCTAGCACCTGAAGAGTTTTGTCTCTACAACATGTGCAATAATCACTTCTTTTACAACAGAAAGCCATTCGAAAAGTTCCTGGAAGGTACCAGGTAATGTTTACAACCTTTGAAAGGTCTACCACGATTAATCATTCTTTTCTTCTTTCCAGTTTGGATCAACTGCTAATAGTAACAGATCCTCCATTTGGCTGTCGAACTGAGCTGATTTCCAACACCCTGCGCAGCCTGAGAAAACTTCACAATAAAATCAACAAGTTGCCGTCCACTCCACTTTCTATATTTTGGATATATCCCTATTATTCAGCTAATCATATCAGGCAGGAAATGCCGGAGATGGAAATGTGCGACTACAGAATAAACTACACCAATCACCTGAGGTATACCAATGTGGGCAAGCAAAGCCGCTTTTGCGGCTCCCCCGTGCGGTTGTTCACTAATGTGCCACTTAAATTACTTCAACTACCCGCGGAAGAAGGCTATAAGAACTGTCAAAAGTGCGATCATCACACTGCCAAAGATAACATTCACTGCAATCGCTGTGGAAAATGTCCATCTGTGAATGGTCAAACATATAGGCACTGCGATTTCTGCGATGTCTGCGTCAAACCCAACTATGTTCACTGTACAAACTGCAGAAGATGCACTCAGAGAGAAGGTCACAGCTGCTTATTCTATCAATCCAAACAACACTGCTGGCTGTGTGCTAAAAAGGGGCATATCGAAACCAGGTGCCCTAACTTTAAAAAAAAGTTTAAGCTCACCAAAGGCTGTCTCTTGTGCGGAAAACAAAATCACAGGGAAAGGAGGTGTAATCACCGCGCAAAGTATTTCAAGGAATATACATTTATGGGCGAAACCTCTGTACAATGTCTTTAAGATACTCTTTTTGTCATATCCCAACCTACGTTATAGTTTATGGGCTGCATAAAAACTAATAAAATGGTTATTTGGTTATAATACTTAAGAGATTCAATTGAATATATAAACTTTGCTTTCAGCAATACTTGAACATTTTCTAAAAATCACTAAATTTCATTTTACAAAAAATCTGAAGGAAAGCTGATAATCGCGTAAGGTTCTTCAGGTCACTTCACTCTATGGCCAATATTCTTCGGCCCCACCCTAAAAGATCCACCAACACATTTGTTTAATACAAAATTTATTTGTTCTTAACACTTTTTGAATGTCTTACAAATTTTGAATTGCAACGGCTGCGCGGAAGTTCTGATGCACATAACCACGATAAATTGTGGAATGAATCCCCAGCCCACCGGAACGGGTTGGATGCGAAATAAGATACAATTTTGAAATATGCATTACGTTTAAACACGTCTTTAACTTAAGCTTATTTATAATTAATTTCATGTGGAAAACACACCAATGCCTCAACAAGCGGAATGGATCTCATGTTATCGCGCCGCGAAAGAAATGATGACGTCGACATTGTTCACGTTCGTTGAGGTGAAAGTATTTATTGGCTACGAATCGAACGGGCTTAAGAGCGATTGTATTTTCCCCAGATGTGCAGCATGAAGACGGAAGCGATGAAGAGCAGCGACATGACCAGCACGGGCACGGGTCCACTAGAGAATCGAGTGTCATAATTGAGGTGTCTTTAAAAATAGCCAGCTATGTACACTTACACCTTGATTCCGGGCGAGTCATCTGTGTAGAAACGCCACATGCCACCGGTACCGGCTCCGCCGGGTGCACGACTCCTGGCCGCCGTAGTGCTGCTGGTGGTCTTTCGCTGCTTCAGGGTGCTGCCGCCTCCGGATCCGGCGCTACGTGGCGCCGACAGTTTGCTGGGCGAGCGGGATCCGCTGCCAACGGACGTCGAACTTGCTGGAGCGGGCTGTTAATAGTGCTTTAAATTAGACGGCGTACTTAATTACTCCTTAGTTTAACTCACCATTTTGGGCTGTCTGTTTTTTCTGGACCGACTGACCTGGAAAATGTGAGCGCTATGTGGAATATGAACGTGAATCTGACGTGCTCGGCTTCGTGTCGCTTCGTATTTTTTCGTTCCACGTCACTTTGGTGGTGGCACCGCATTCGATAGGACTTGTGACAACTATCGCGGTTTTAGACAGCTGGAGGTGGGAGCCGAAAACTCATTGCGACTATCGGTTCATTTCAGTTTTTAAGTGAACTACTTAAGGACAACTTCATCTTTTATCATCCTCTCCGGTTATAAGACAACTGGAATTATTGAATGCAAACATATAAGTAACGGATATATTTTGTCAATACTTTTACTTAACACTTTATTTTATTTGATCAATTAATAAAACACCGAAGCACAAGTTTTTGTTTAAGGTTTTTTATTCAACTTTGCCGACTAAAATAAGACAATGCAGAATCAATCAATCAATGCAGAAGCATTGATCTATTTTAATAAGGATAGTCTATGATTAATAACGATTACATATATGTATCTAAATTGTATAGCCAACAAGAATAGCTGACCACAATTGGTTAACAAAAAATGTCGAAGCGGTCGCTCGTAAAGTATATTTTTAAAAGCTTTCGCCGGGCAAACGAAATAAACCAGAAAATAAAATAACTAAAGAACAAAAATAAAAGCAGTAAGTTAGTAATCCGAAAACCAAAAATTAAAATGCATTATGCAGCTGCTTTCAAAACTTTTAACAATTATTGAATCTAGCGACGGGCACACAGAAGCGCGGGCTCGTTCTTCTGTTTTTGGTATTTTCACACAGTCCAACTACAATCACGCTAAATACAGCGGCATCATTTTTGCTTGAATTCGAAGGGATTTTTGCGCTGAAAAAAGAGACTTATGTACTAGGTTTGGTTCTTCTAATGGGTATATATCCGGTCTGCTGAATAGCCCGACAAGTTTTTCAAAGTTCGCGGAAGGTTCGTTAACGAAACGAGGCGAAACTGAAAATTTGCAAATCGGGCGACGCACATGAAAAGTGTAATATGGAGGACATAGAATATCTGGACGAGTATAAAGACTTGGTGCTGCCAGGTGCGTTTATCCTTTAAATGCCATAATCATGTATCTAATGTGTGGTTTCTGTGTGATTTTTGTAATTTTAGGAATCAAATCGGGCGCTACGCCTTCTTCCTCTGCCGGCGTTTCCCGGCAGCGCCGCATTTCATCAGATTCTAGCAACTCATCTTCGATCGATGCGGACATATTCCAAAAGCTTTTCCACGGCAAGTATCTAGACGAGGAACTGCTCAACGAGGGTTCCGTTTCCAAGTCGCAAGTCCGGGGCCGCCGCCGCTCCCCATCATCCTCCTCCAGCGACGATTCCAACGATGCCCTGGAAGCCCTTTTCAGCAGAAAAAGTGGGAAATCGAAGCCCAATAGGCGTCGCGAACGCTACGAGTCCTTTGATTCGGTGGACGATCTGGGTACGTGTCCCTTAATTTCCTTTACTACTCTACTCTAACGAGGCAATTCCCAACCACAGGCGAAGCCCTAATGCGTCCTTCGCATCGGTCGACAGTTTCTAAGCCCAGTACCTCACAGGCAGGTGCTAGAAAATCATCCCACGGAGCAGCTCAACGCAGAAGGAGCAGCAACAGCAGCGGCAGCACCTATGGAAACAGCAAACCACTGTCAGCTTCTCAAAACAAATCTGCTGCAAATCCTAGTTTAAGTGCTAGATCCAAGAATTCCGACCCTGTGGTTACCAAGTCGTCGGGTTCTGTGAACGGCAGTGGTTTGGCATCCTCGAAAAACAAGTCGGTAACCATTATAAAGGCACAGAAAACCGATCTTACGCCTTCACAGCACGAACCCAAAACAGATCCCTTGAGTAAGCTTTGCTTTGAGTTGTTTAGTCATATTGGTTTCTAATCCTTTGGTAATGCACACAGCTTTGGGGGAGTACTATGGAGATTCGGACAGCGATTCTTCGTACGAATTTGAATCGGACTTTTATGGAGATCGCGACTCAGAGGACGAGGACGCCGAGCCGGTGATCGACATCTCAACAGACACGAGCAGGACCACTTCGGTGGCGGGTAAGTCAGCGCTAAAAACTAGTTGATACTGCCAACCCTCTGATAATATTCATAATATGTAAACACACATAAACCGTGTAGACACCGTGACACCTGTTGTTTCCGACGACGAGGGCCAGGAGCCGCAGAGTGAGCAGAATGAGCACACGGAGCGTCCTGAAAATGATCGGGAGTCGGTTTTGAGAGGTGCTTATGAGCGCCTGCAGTCATACTTGAGTAATCTCAGTTGCGCCGAGGCGCCGCCTATCTATAAGAAACAGTCTAGTGCTAGGAAATCCCGCTCCAACGAAAAGAAATCCTCTACCTCCGAACAGGTTAAGCATGCTAATGAGCAATCAACGGGTAAGTGTGCACCTACGTCCAATGGGGCGTTCATTTATTGATCATGTGCGCCCCGCGAACCCCCAACTCTTCCATACTCTTACATTTGTAACTATTTCTGCTTTTTGTTTCACAGCCAGTGACAAAGAGGAGGCGGAGGATAAGAAAACGGAGCGGGAGCAGGAACAGGAGGCCCCAGGGGCCAGTAGTAGTGCCAAATCCTCAGCTAGCAAGACCAGCACCAATAAGAAGCTGTATGACGTGGATGACAGTGTTACGCTAGAAACGGTGGAGCGCATGAGTCTTAACCTAGCCGAGCAGATCATGGAGATTGATGTGGAGCGCTCGTACGAGTTTGAAAAGCGATCCGGCTCCAAGACGCGCAGCAGATCGAGATCTAAAGTTTCCTCCAATTTGAGCAAGAGCCATGTGCGCAAGCTCACCTATTCTAGCGAACGACTGGATAACCCGGAATCCTCAGGGACTCAGCTGCGGCGTTCAAAGAGCGATTCTTTCCCCAAGCGGGGACGTGGTCGAAGCCAAAAGAAGCGTATAAATCGAGCTGCGACCACGGAGGAAAAAACTCCTAATGCGCAAGAAGGGGTAGGCGAGATTGTCAAGAGAAAACGCGGAAGGCCTCGCAAAAATGCTCCGAAACAGGAGATGGCACAAGCCAGAGTTACTGAAAATGCAGACGAAAGCTTGGAGCAAAATAAAGCCGAACTGATGAAAGCGAGCGAAGCGGATGCGACAATGGAGACTGGAAATTCAGAAGAGCAGGAGTCACTAAAACTAGATTCAGAACAAGATAAAACCAAAGAGTTCGCAGGATCTGAAAACGTATCCCAGAATGATACTAACATGACTTCATGTCATCACGAAAAGCACCTCAAAGGTGCTCCGGACAGGGATGTACAGTTGGATAAAGAGCCTTTTGAGAATCTCGAGGAAGAATCACCTCCTACGCTGGACACATTAACCAAAACCTCTGATGCCGTAGAGGTTTGCAATGATATAACTGAAAATATAGAAAACATCCAAGATTTGGACGAAAAAGATTCCATTCCAGAAAAACTGGAACTTCAAAAAGGCTCTGCTGTTGAGGATTTGTTAGAATCCAACGATCATACAATAAAGAATTTGGACCAAACTCAAAATGAAATTGAAGCTACGGAAGACATTGAACTGCCGTCAGTGCTCACAAATGTGGACGCAACAGGAAATATTCTCGAGCAAAGCGACTCTCAGCTGGCGGAGGACATAAAGTTGGCTGAAGAGATCTTGGCTGCTGAAGTGGGTAAAGGAATTGAAGTAAGTGAGGTATCAGTGGCATCAGTGGAAGGCGGGCAAAATCCGGTTACTGAAATCGTGAAGGAGTTGGAGCAAGAAACTATTTCAGAGGTTGTGGAAGTAGCTAAGGATAGTGTTCAGTCTGAAGAAATTTCTTTAGCTGAAGAAAAAAGCTTACCTGGTGAGCCGACTTCATCCGACGATCAGCCTCCAGCTGAGAACCAGGACCTAGTTGAACAGCCGACTCCAGTTGAAGAAAAGCCTCAAGCTGAAAACCAGAATCTTGTCGGAAAACCAACTCCAGTAAAGAAACAGACTAAAGTTGAAGAAGAGCCTTTAGTTGAAAAACAGACTCTAGTTAAAAATCCTGTTTCAGTTGAAGAACTGACTCTTCCTGATAAGGATCCTCCTGCAAAAGACCCGTCTCCCGCTAGAGCGCGTTCTCATGTGCAAGAACTGGACTCAGTTTCGAAAGATCAACCAGCTACCAAAGAGCAAAATCTGTCTTCGCCTGCTATTACGCCTAAGAAACTAAAAGAGCTTGAAGCTCATGAAAGTTCAGTATCCAGACGGGCTCTCAGGTCAGATAAGCCATCTCCTGTTAAGGAAAGTCGTCCAAAGCGTCCTCGGAGAACTCAACTGGCGCTTCTTATTTGTGATTCATCTAGACGAAACAGTCCGAGATTAGGAAGGTCTCCGGCAGAAAGTCATTCATCCCAAGAGCGCTCACCGATGGAAAATAAAGGTGCCATCAAGTTTGCCAAAGAACAGTTGACCACAGAAAAAGAAAAGGAGGTTGAGGAAAAAGCATTACCAATTGAGACAGATTGTAAAGAAGGAAGAGATACCAAAGCAACTAAAATTGAGCCTGAAATAGAAAAGGTTACTGACAGCCCATTAAAGTCGGAAAAAAGCCAAATGATTCTTGGAACAGAAAGTGATAAAGATAATCTTGATTCAATTGAAGAACTTCCTCCTACTTCAAAGCCGGCTGAAGAATACTCAACATCTAGCGAGTCTGAACAAAAAGACGAAAAACTATCCTTAGAAACGGAACCTGCTAAGGAAAAAACATCCAATTCCAGAAAATCCCGCAGAACCCTTTTGGGAAAGGTGAAATCAGAATGCGAAACATCCGAAAAGAAACCATTAAGAACAGGTAGCAAGGAAACTGATCTGCAGTCAGAAACTACGCAAAGCAATTCCCTCGCCGATAAGGAGGAGCGAACCTCTGGCAGACTGAGTCGCAGAGATAAGGCGATGGCTGATGCTGCCAAACCTCAAAAAGATAAATTACCTTCTGCCAAATCAAAATCTTCCAGCAAAACAGTTATTTCGAAGGAAAAGAATGAAACCAAGGAAAAGGACGAAATCAAGGAAACAGAGTCCGATGACAAAGCAAGCCTGGGTAAATCAAAAACTGACAAGAAAACCGAGCAAGAAAAATCGGACAGTGACAAGCAAGCAAATGTCGGTTCAAATCAAAAGGAACCAAAGAAGAAAGGATCATCAAGAGCTAGATCAAAGAAAACTATCCAAGAGCTGACGACAAAATCAGAAGCTGTTGCGTTGATTACTGACCCGGAAGCCATTACAAACAAATCTGTTCAGGAATCGGCAGAGGTTTCGGTGGAAGTAATTAAGAATAGGAATATTACCGACGATCAGAAACCCAACGAGGAGATAACTGAAACTAATAAAGAGGAAAGTATAATGCCAAAAATTGAAGCGGTTCAGAATACATCTTCTGCAGAACAGGATTCTAAGGTAATTGGAAAAGACACGTCACAGTATTTCGCTGACGTTTTTCAGGACATATCACAGAAAAGCGGCAAGACCGATGATGAAAAACCCAACGAGAACACGACTGAAACTACTTACGAGGAGAGTTTAGGACTAAATACGGAGTCAGTTCAGATTCCATCCTCGTCAGAAAAGGTCTTGGAACCTATTCCAACAGTTTCGGCACAGGCTTCAGACAAGTCCAATGTTTTGAAAAATAAGTCCAAACTCAGAAGTAAGAAAGGTAATACAAAATTCAAAGAGAAAATTTCCGACTCTGATGAAAAAGAGGAGAAGGTCCCAGTTCAAGAAAGATCTTCTGCAGAGAAGGATCCCGTAGAAAATTCTCAAACTGAAACGGCGGACCTTGAACACAAACAGGACTCCGAATCAACACCCAAAGGAACGACACAGGATTCAGACAAGTCCAATGCTTTTAAGGAAAAGCCCAAACCCAGAAGTAAGAAAGGTAATAAGAAATCCAAAGAGAAAATTTCAGAGCCTGATGAAAAAGAGGAGAAGGACTCAGTTCAAAAAACAAATTCAACAGAGAACGATTCCGTTGAAAAATCTGAAGCTGAAACAGAGGAACTAAAAGTCAAACCAGAATCCCCTGTATTAGAAAGAGCGCGGATTAGAAAACGAAGGCAAGCTGTAGTCATTGAGGATATTGAGCCTCACAAAGACGAGAATCGTGTCGATTCCAGTGACCCGCAGACTCCTGCTTCAATTATAAACGAACCTTCCTTGCCCATTTTAGAGGCTTTGGAAAACGTTTCGGAAACAAGCGAATCAAAAGTTACACCATTAAAAGGAAAATCAAAAACTAAAAAAGGAAAATTGAGCGTAGCAGCTCCTGATCACGAGGAGACTACTGGAAGTTTGGAATTGACTCATGAGCTCAAAGAGCAGTCGGTGTCAGCACACACTTCCATAGAAAACAAGGAGACGATCTCCTCCCCAGCGGATTCCCAAATAGCTTTACCAACCACTCCCACTTCAAGTATTGATCAAACCAAAAATACCGGCAGTACACTTAAAGGATCTTCGAAGTCCAAACTTAACGTTCCAAAGCTGGCACACAAATCTGACAAAGCTACTCAGAGAACTCCTAAGCTAGGTTCTGAATCTTTAACCTCTGCAAACCAAAGACTTTTGAGTACTCCCTCAGTCTCCTGTCGCAATCTTCGCGTTTTGGTAAAAAGAACTCCAAATAGCTTTAAAGGCACAAGAAGATCATCTGTTTTTAAGAAAACTCCCACCAAAACAAAGCGTTTGAAGGCTCTTATGGATGGCATCCAGAAATCTCCATCTCCAAAGCGACGTGCTAGTGAGCAGTCGATTTCTACAGTTGCAACGGAATCAGAGTCTATACATGATCAAGATTTGTTGCCCGGTTCTGAATCTGAGCCTAACCAAAACTTAAACAATGAAGTTCCTAATGAAACACCCGAAAAAGTAGATGGTGGCACTCGGGACGAGCCAAAGGAGAAAGAAGAATCTGATCAAGAACAGGAAACTAATGATAAAGAAACTTCTGATGAGGTTGATACGCTTATTAAAAAGGGATCAACTGAGAACATCTTGAAGGAAGGTGCCAATGCTCTCGTACACGAATCAAGTTCATTAACTGAAGCGAACTCTGAGCTCCATGCCATTAAAGATGAGTCCCCAAAGGAAGAAAACTCAGAAGAAGAAATCTCAAAAGAGCACAGCCAAAAGGAGGAAACTCAAGAAGAACAAAGCCCACATGATCAAAAACCAGAAAGTGAGTCAGCTCCCGCTACCGACCCTGGAGGGGAGGAGCCCACTGTTAAGTCGGTTGCAGCTGAATCTGAAACCGATGTTACCGACGACGAAGAACCCGCTAAAAGCCCAATCCCAGACTCAACGGAAACAACAAGTGTTACGGTAGAACCACAACCCAGTACGTCGAGCATGCTGAAGCGCAGCTTGCGCAAGCGCGATGCGGATTCCTCACAGCCAGATGGTTAATAGCTTGTCCAATCTTTCCATTTTACGTCTTTTTAATTAAGATCAACAACTAACATATATGTTTTATTTTTCTTTTATTCTTTCAAATCCTTTAGAAGCTGCTAAGCGAAAACAACGGCAAATGGTGGAAAAATCGGTTACTGACAGACAGGAACTGGGCAAGCCAAGTGAGTGTTGATATTGATATTGCTGATATTGATTTCCTTTTTAAATTTGGATTAAAACGAGGATAATTACTAAAACAATAAATACATCAATTTCAGATCGTCGTCGCCATCTTGTGGAGGACGAAGAGCGGCCGACCAATAAACGGACCAAAATTGCCTCACATGAAAAAACCAATGTGAAGGGCAAATACATCTCTATTATAGGTAATGAGACCATCATGTCATCTACGACAGCGCCTATTAAAGAAGGTGAAAGAACGTCTGGAGGGAAAGAGATTAATAAGAACGTAGAACTAGGACCCCCTGTCAGGAAGCTGCTAAAGACTGATAGTTCGTCTCCGGGGGGTAAGAAGCCTATGGTCCAGACCCTGCTGAGTTCCACCCTCAGTCTGCAGAAACCTTCGTCGGGCGAAGATGGATCCGCTCTGACACCCGCGAAATCCCAGAAAAGAGCTGACGCCAAAGACAAGGCTGATGATCAGCCTGTTCTTAACAGCTCAATTTTGCTAACCAAGAAGTCCTTGTCAGCTAACAAGAAAACGGAATCTTCCAAGGAAGATGGATCAACGGCTGCTCCAAGAAAGGTAAACATTTCCGTTTCCTTGTTGCCTTCCAAAGGAACAACAGCAGAGGCATCAAAAGCTACTGTTTCCACCCCCGTAACATCACCCATTTTGCCTCGAAAGGCACAACCGGAGGCACAGAAAATGGCCAGAAAATCGGAACCCCATAAAAAAGCAGAGTCCAAGAATAAAGAGGCGCCGAGTGAAGCTCCCAAGTCAGAGGTGGCTGCAGGTACCTCAAAAAAATCGGTTCCTTCAGCTTTGACTGGAAGAAAACCAATACCACTTCCTCAATTGGAGCTCTCGAAGAAAATCGAAAGCAGGAGGTCAGATGGAATTTTACCACAATCCAGTTCTCGCAAAACAGCGCCTCAATTGGACCGTTCTAAGAAAATGCTGGCCAGAAAATCTGAGGGGGCTGCCTTAGGTGCAAATGTTAGGAAACAACCGATTCCTCATCCAGAAGCCCTGAAGAAAACGGAAACGAAGAAACCAGAAGCTCCAGCTAAAGCTGTTGAGCCCGCAGAAAATGACAAGACAGTCGAAGCTGAGGAAGCCCAAACGGTGGTTAGGGGTCGTGGGGTAACAAAGAAAACCAAATCGGAGCAGCGCATGTTCAGATCCAAGACAGGACTACCTACCTCAGAGGCTGAAACAACTTCTGACTCAAGGGATTCTTCTCGCGATGACAGTGCCCGCTCTTCCGATAAACCTGTGCCAGTTGCACCACGCCAAGTGATCCACAGTAAATCGGTGCACATGACACGAGCAGCCAGTAGCAACAGATCACTGGCTCCTACACCAGTCCCCACGCCTGGAAGACAACGGAACGTGCCGAAGGAACTTTTAACATCTGCTACGGACCAAAAAAGACCAATACAGCCGGCGCGTACCTTGGAACAATCGACAAGGGGTGGTGCTCCTGGCGGACGAAGCCGCCAGCCCGCTGTAAAAAGAAAAACAGTCGATCCTCTAGAAGAGGATGCAGAAGTCGTGAACCCCAAGCGACCCAAGGAGCTACTGAAGGAGGATCTGCAACAGAAAGAAGATCCTATTCGGGGGTCTGCGGCTGTGGCATTCCCAGTCAAAATAACAGTTGCAGACTTGTCCTCCTCGGCGGATTCTCTGGCAGCTTCCCCTATGGGTAAAGCAGATCAACCGAAATCGAAGATACGCAAAGTTCGCGTAAGAATCAATCGACAAGTCTTCACGAAATTTTTGAGGGAGCAGCAGGAGAAAATTGAGGAGATAAATACCGTCTCACAAAAACTTCCATCACCGCCACCACCACAAGATGCGACGTCGGAAACAGATTCTGCGGCGGAATCAAGGTCGGAAACAAAACTACAGTCTCAGACAGAGCCGGCAATTGTTCTTAAGCCAGTGCCTGCATCCCAGCTTTTATCTCAGCCTGTTCCTAATCCAGCTCCAACTCCAGCTTCAGAATTGCCAGTAAGAAAAAGCTCAAATCAGCTAGAACCCAAACCAGTTCATGTTCCATCGGCAGCTCCTGATCCCACACCAGCTGCGAAACCACAACCGGAATTACCGCCTGCAAAGACAACCGTGAAGACAGCTATATATCCACTGACTGGCCCACAACTTCCCGACGTCGCAAAGTCGCAGGAGAACGCCATAAAGCTGGCTGAGCAGAAGAGAGTGCAGATGTTTCACGCCAAGTCAATGCCCTTACCTGTCCCAATTCCAGAGGTGAAGTCGGAACCAGAAGATTCCCCTCCGGAGGTTATGGATGAGGGACCGCTTCTTGTGCCGTTGCCTGAGGTTGCAGCAGCACCCGTACCACCGCAACCGCAGTCGGTGATAGAAGACACGGGTGCCGCCACTTTCCAAATCAACACTACTGCTGCTTCTTTTTCCTCTGGCCCGAGTGTCTCCCATTCGATTCCCTCGGCCAGTGCGCCTAGCAGCAATCCAAATGCCATTGGCCAAACAAAGATGTTCTCATTCCTCTACCCAAATCGCTATAAGCGATCCTACGACGACGTGGGTCTGGACTTTTGTTGTCCGAACCTGGACGGACCGATGCGGGCCATCGATTTCACACGCTTGCACTCAAAGGCTGAGGTACCCGTGCTGGAGCTGCCACAGTTTCTCGTTATTACCACCAAGTTTATCTCCAAGGCGGATAAGGATATTCCAAGCAAAGTGCGAGCCAAATTGGAGTTGTTGGGCAAGAGTAAGGAACGGGATTCCAGTGAGCCGATTGTTTCAACAACAGCTGTAGCTTCTGGAGAAGATGCTGCCGCTTCTGCTTACGCTTCGGTTCCTGCGGCACCAACACCTACTATAATTGCCCAGGGAGGACCTCCTGCTCCCCTTACTGGCTTGCCTCCAACTGCTGTCCCTCCAACGCCAGCTTCTACCATTCTCACACCCGGGTTTTCAGCCAACTCCACTCCAGCAGTAGATTCTTCTAACTTGGATTCACTGACGAATATGCTGCCGCGTGGGACAACGCTGACCAAGAAAGTTCTGAATCCAGGGGCTCCTGTTCCTCCCACAGCCAGCGCCTCGATGCTGGCCTCTCTGCCGCCGGCCTTCATCCAAATGCCACCGATCTGTCCCACGGACAAGCAGCGCATGGAGCTTCAATCGAGGGTGCAGGTGCTTGATTTGGTGCTCCAGGCGCTGAGCCGTCGGGTAGCCACCTTGACTTTGGCCGAGAGACAACGCACTATCGAGGAGATGGTGAAGACCAGCTCGCTTATGGCCATCGACGTTGATGTGGGTACGAAGCTGTTGGAGAACTACATGAATTACTTGAATAAGGCCACCAGCACGACGACGACGATACCCCCGATCTCTCATAACCCGGTGGTCATGCCGTCGACTTCTGTTGCCGCTTCAGCAGCTAATGCCATAACACCAACCGCACCTAGCAGCTCATCGCTTTCCAAAAGCATAGTAAGCACCACAACTATCACATCCAGCGCATCACCGAGGACCAAGAAGACTGCACAGAGTGTCCAACAGCGCAGCTCCCTTCCCGCCAGCATTCCACTATTCGATCCGGAACAGAACATTATTGGTTTTCAGTGTCCCACCGTCAGAGCGCCTGTCGCACCACCGGCCGCGGTCCGAAAGACTTCTCCAGCTGTCCCCAGCACTCCTGTGAGAGCCTCGACATCTTCAGCAGCCGCAGCGGCAACGAAAGGTCAGCATCGATCCACATCGGCAGGCAATAAGAGTGCTGGAGCTAACCCAAACCAGGTAGTTATTTTTAAAACCCCTAACCGGCAAATTTAACTTTAATAACCATTGCTTTACCCGGGCAGTTTGTCAACATGAAGTCAGCTATGTCAATAAACATGGCGGCACCAAGAGTTAACAAGAAGAAACAAGAGCAATCCGGTACTACCCTGACGTTAAATCCTCTGGTACCTGGTGACAAATATGTGCTTTGTAAAAAGAAGACCACGCCGATAAGGACAGCCACTCAGCCCAAGACCACAGCATCACCCGCCATGAAGATACCGCCTACGCCTGCACCTCCAAGTGGGACTGCGGATACAGCACCGGATGAAACAATCGTAACTCCCCCAGTCGGAATGAGCCTCACTAGCACCTCCAATCCGAACGTGTTTTTAATCAACCAAGTCTCGCAGCCGGAGGAAAGCATATTGCCCGACCTAAATCATCCTGTGGCTCCCTTGGAAGCAGAGATCAAGGGCGAATTGGATGACTCTTCGGAGGCTATTATTTAGCGCCGTAGGAGACTAAAACCCAGATGGAAAGTATTCTAAGTTACTTTAACACAATTAATTAAGAAGAGTTGATTATTTCGTTGAACGCAAGAACAGAATTATTTATGTAATTCTATTATAAAGAATTTGTTAAACCTTTCGCACCATCCGGAATTTTTTTTTGGAAAATAAATGGATAAAAATTGTAATCACTGTGCGTTTTTTAAATATAAATAGTTTTACATTGATGTACAAAATTTACATACCTAACGAATATTATATCTCAATAAGTGTTCTGAAAAAAACACTGAACATTTTTTTTACCAATGGTGTTTGAGAACCTAGTAATAATTGTATATTTTTTTTTTATAAACCCGCGTTTTAAATTCAATAAAGAAAAGATTTATTGTACTGAAAATCATTAATAGTATATTTAAAATTTAAAAAAAAATAACCTTTGCTTAAATGCCGACAAAAAGCTTTGATAGAAAGCTTTGCGTAGTTTTTCTAGCCAAATGGTGAACCTTGTGAAATGAAGACAAGTATTTGTGTATATAAGCTTAGCAGGGAAAGAACGATTTTATTTATCTCAATCGTGTCCAACATGACAACATCAACAGAGGAAGCTATGAACACACCTAACAGTAAGTTTCTTTGAACTTTCGTATAAATAACTATGTTTAACGATGTCTTACATCTGCAGGTGCATATCCTGACTTGGAAAAACGTTTGGAGACGTACATGCGAAGAATTTTCTATCTCAAAGAAATTGCAACCAGCAATGAATATAATTCGTCGGAAGTGGAATATTTCGGTGTACTTAGTTTAACCGATGTTCGATCCCCTCGGCGAAAGCTGTGGTACATGTATTATGCGAAATCGGATCAGTTGGATATAACTGTTGATCGAATCCACCGCAAATATGGCCAAAAGAACATGTATGAATTGTTTAGAAAGCCAGTATTTTCAGGGGCAGGAATGCGATCTCGGGTTAAGAACCACTTCGGAGGTCTAAAATGGTATGTCAAGGGAAATATTTTGGAAGCCCCTGCCGATAGCACCTTCAACGATGAGAAGGTGGTCAACACTATCGCAGATTTGTACCAGGCCGAGAGGCGCAAATACTACGATTGCCTAATAGCTGCGAACAATATGTTTATAAGATATTCTTCCTACGCAAAATTAAATGTATAAAAGAAGCAATCCTTCTTTTTATTATAAGAAACCCTTCTAAAAAGCTTTAAATACGAGACTGCGAATAAATGCTAACCAGTATTCTGTTCACGTTTGCTTGGGTCGGAAGTCGTAATCATTGAAAGTAAATGGGTAAAGCCTATGAATCACCTTAAAACAGCTAAGGTATTAACTTTGTTTTTTGTTAAGCCGGAAACCAACCCAAACTAGAGGATAAGTTGGAGAAATACTGGAGAAGGCTATTTTATCTGCAGCCATTAGCAGAAAGCACTTCCTTGGATCTATCTGAGTTGGAGTACTTTGGAGTCTTTAGCGTTAAAGATCCCCAGGCCACAGATCGGAAATTATGGTACATTTATTGCTGCTTTCAACCGGAAATTGCAGAGGTTGTGGAAAAGGTGCGGCAGAAATATGGCAAAAAGAACGTGCACGAAGTATATCGGAAACCCACATTCAGTGGAGTTGGGTTCCGTAGGACCGTAAGAGATTATTTTTCGCACTTAAAATGGATTACTAAAGGACATCTCCTAGAAGCCCCTGCAAATAGCTACTATAACGACGTGAGAATTGTCAAAACAGTTGCTGAATTGCATGACAAAGAGCAGAGAAGGCTTTTTGACTGTATAATGGAACAACATAATTGGTTTAAGAAGTACAATGATCAAAAGCCACCCTCTCCACGACATTAATAATGTAAATAAATAAATGTAATGAATTTTTATCGATAGCAAACAGAGTTGCTTTTAAAAGCTCCTTGGACTTTGTTGTGAAATTGGAAATCGTAAACAAAACGAAAGCTGTTTATTACAGTCCAGTTGAAATATTGGTTTATTCCCTATTTAAAAAGGAGTGTTAGGGGAATTAAGTCATATTCGGGTCTGACAAGCAAGTGTTGCCTTGTTAAAAATCTACGATGACAACCAACGCTGTTCAAAACAAAAAATCAGGTAAAAATCAGGCTAAACGGTCAAAATATTACAGTGGTTGAATATTGATGACTAATACCTCTTTCTGCAGAAACTGATTACGACCTCGAGGAGGAAATCGACAACCACTTGAGGCGAATTTTTTATATCAAACCAAAAGGTGATTCCCCAAAATGCAATCCCTACATAGTGGAGTTCTTTGGCGTGCTCAGTTTAACTGATCTGCGAGCTCCAGAACGTAAGCTTTGGGTTATATATTACTGCAAACAGCCGGATCTGGACAAAACCGTCGACGAGATCCACCAAAAATACGGAAAGAAGAATATGTTCGATCTATATCGCACACCAGTTTTCAGCGGAGCTGCACTTCGCGCAAGTGTAAAGAAACACTTTGCTGGTCTTAAGTGGTTCACCAAAGAAAATCTTTTGGAAGCTCCCCCCAAGAGCTTCTTTAATGACGAGAGAGTAGTCAAAACCATAACAGATCTGCATCACCTGGAACAGCAGAGACTGTATAACTATGTGATGGTAAAGAATATGTGGTTTCAGAGATATCATTAACTCCTAGTTTTTACCTAACTCTGTGATTAAGGTTTTACTTGCCTAAAACAAAAGAAGCCTTTAGGATTCCTGCTTTTTGTAAGAAAAATAAAGTTTTGATAAGAAATATCAAAATCATCAATGTTTGTAAATAAAAATCCTTAATCGTTCGAAAACGTTAAAAAAATACGCTGTCCGATAACATTTGAATTAGAGTAAAGCGGCCGAACAAGGGTTAAAGCACCTATCGATAACACACTCCCTCGCCTATCGCTACCCCTGCCGAAGCGTGCGTCTTTCCAAACGCAGTTGCAATAAATAAAGGCTAACATTTAATTAATAAACACTGTCTGGGGGTGCAATATAGCAGGGAACCAAACCCTTAAAGATGGTAAGATCGAAACTTTTACTTGTTAAAGTGCATACCCACTTACAATATTCTTGTACACCTAAAAAGTCCTCCCGTTCCTCCGAAGAGCGAAACTATTTACATCGCAAATTCGACAGGTAAGCAAAAATAACTTAAAATACATAGAGCGCTGTGTTGAGAGTCTCGATTGCAGTAGTAGCTACAAGCACAAGCGGTCTGCTTCCTCCTCGTCAGCAAGGACAACTTCCTCTGGACACAAGGACCGCCGGTAAATGTGTACACACATATGTGAGCCCCTCCTAAACGATACCTATTTTGACAGCAAGCATCGAGTAGGCTTTGCTAGCAGTTTAGAAAACTATTCAAGTGTCATTGACGGGATTTTATTTCGATTTGATTTTCATCCGAGAAAGTCGGTGCTTTGGCCAAAAGACTCAAAAAAAAAAAAAAAAAATCAATTTTCAACTTTTCTTTCTTTTGGAAAAGAGTAACCTTGTCATGTAAGAACCCACTCAAAGCACTAACTTCTTTGAAACGTTTAATAGCTTAAGAATAGGTCCAACATAGGTCAAATTGAATTGAATTGAATACAGCCATAGAATTGTCAAGCCACACGTCTTACACGATTTTTCAACTGTCAGTTAGCAAGACTTTCAAGAGCGAGCAGCAAGATAATCTAATTTCATTCCATTCCCACACAAAATCAAGGTCGGACTTCGATTACTATGGAGGACGTCGTCACCAACGATCCGGCTCTCGTCGGCGCTCCCGTTCTGGCTCCGACTCGCCTGCTCAGGGAGCCCGTCAATATTCCGGACGCACATCCCGTGATCGCCAAAGGATGCATAAGGCACGCGTAAGTTAGCTCCCAAAAATTGCCGCTACCTTCTGTATTATCCTGAAATTTCTTCCATTCCAGGAACACCCCCAAGCAAGCCGCTGCATTGGAGTCTTCGGTCTGAGCACTAACACCTCGCAGCACAAGGTTCGCGAGCTCTTCAATAAGTATGGTCCCATTGAACGCATCCAGATGGTCATTGATGCACATGTAAGAGGCGTTCAAAAACATTTATACTAACTCCCGCCTGAAGTAATTTTAGTCGACAATTCGGCTGAAGCCTTGCAGTTTTGTCTTTATTTCCGGCTAAATAATAGAAGATGGCGATTGTGAGCTTATGTGAATTCCAAACTATAAGCTAAAGGCTTGCTGTCACATTCCTATAGATTTATCTTTAATAATGTCAATATTACAAATTTACTCAACTGCTCAAAAATGCTTTGCACATTTAGTTGCCTTCATTTAGATAAATCACCACATTTGTATTTTCAACAGACTCATCGTTCCCGAGGCTTCTGCTTCATTTACTTTGAGAATCTCGAGGACGCCCGTGTGGCAAAGGACGCCTGCTCCGGCATGGAGGTAGATGATCGTCGCATTCGCGTTGACTACTCGATTACACAGCGCGCCCACACCCCCACTCCGGGAGTCTATATGGGTCGCCCATCGCGCTCTGCACGCTATGGGCGCTCCCGTTCGCCGAGGGCAGGACGACGCCGCGATCGTTCTGTTTCACCGTACGATAACTATCGTCAGCGCAATAGCCACCGCAACGATCGCTATGATCGCAGCTACCGCAGGAGTCAGAGCCGCCATCGCTACATTCAAGGCAAAAGCTATAGCCGTTCTCGGTCTCCACAAACTCGTAAGACAAAACGTGGATCTATTCTTTTAAATATGCATTAATCCGAATAATTTCCACAACCAGGTCGCATCTCATCGCGCTATTAGTGACTTCCGAAATGGGCCACTTCCTTAACACGTGCTCCTATCTTGGCCCGACCGGATAGTCCTAACGGCCTGCGGAGGAGCATACGACTGAAATATTGTGTTTTTGGTGAAACCATCCCATCTATGGCATTTGGTTGGCAAGCAGCTCACAACTAGACTAATTTCCAAATTCATTATTCACCCAAAACCGCTCTTAATCATAAATATTCGTTAACCATTACTGATGCTGTACAAAAACCTAATTTGTAAATATCAGATCAATTACCACCATTACATACAGAGGTCCGCATAGATTGTGATATGTATTTTAAAGGAACTACGGCAAACTGATAATATAAATAAAAAAACTAATATTAATTATTATTGTAATTGTACAGTCAGTTCAAAATAAAATTGAAATTGTACAGAACTCTGGAGACCTGACACTTTAGTATGATTGGTCTTTTTTGGAACGCAAAATTCATAGATTTGTTAAATCCATATTTATTCAAGAGTGATCTTAATGCCTGAGAGTTACTTAAAATTAAAAGCCAGAACTGACATTATAGTTATGGAAAGCTTTTTTCTAGGATACGGGTACAATTGCCAAAAATCTAAAAATATCTCACGGTGCGTTGCCATTTGCCGTGGAGGAAGTTGAGGCCTCCACTGCACTTCCTGCTAAGCTAGCGGATTGGGTTGCTCTCGAAGCTTTGTAGGCCAACTCTAGGCTCTGGTTTATTACATGCATATCACCTTCAATGCTACGTGCCCAGTTCTCCACGTCACCCAGCTCTTTAAGGGCACTGCTGAAATTGTCGATGAGCTGTAACCACTGATGCGTTTGCTTGGCGAAGTTGGTGGCCCCCATATGCAGTTGCTTGGCCTCTGCGTCTAATCTCTTCTGGTTCAAGTAGGCTTGTGCCACGCCCACATTTAGGGTGTCCACCAGGGATTGGGTGAGCTCATTAGAGGCTTCTATGGCCTCCTTGCGGCGTACCTCTGGAATGACCCTTGATAGTTACGATTTTCATGAGAAATCAAGTGGTTTGCTTACCCTGCTCTTGCTTCCGCTTGACCTGCTCCTTGTGGTGCTCCTTTACCATGGAGGTAAGCATATTTTGGCTTTGTTGAAACCCTAAGAAAAAACAACTTTTTGTCAACACAGAGATCAGCTGTTTTGTTAGAGGTGAACCTCCTACAGTCGATTGGCATTTCCGATAGCCTAGTTGAAGGTTGAAATCGATGCTCGCTCACCTCCAATAGCCCCACACGTGCGCGCTTGTTGCGCTCCTATTTTTCTTGAGTTTTTGAATAAAAAGTGTGCTTTAAATCAGCCAAAATGGGTTCCAAGAGGCCGCAGGATGTACACATGTTCCCCTCGGACTTGGAGTTTGCCGTATTTACCGATCAGGAGATCCGTAAATTAAGTGTAGTGAAGGTGATTACGGGCATAACGTTCGATGCCCTGGGACACGCTATGCCCGGTGGTCTTTACGACGTCAGAATGGGCTCATACGGCCGGTGCATGGACCCGTGCGGGACATGTCTCAAGATGCAGGACTGTCCGGGACACATGGGCCACATTGAGCTGGGCACGCCCGTCTACAATCCGTTCTTTATTAAAATAGTGCAGCGACTACTCGGAATATTCTGTTTGCACTGCTATAAGTTGCAAATGAAGGGTAACCATTTCAATGCTCTTTCTATTACGAGTAGCTAATTTTTCCCCTTTTACAGACCACGAATGCGAGATCATCATGCTTCAGTTGCGTCTTATCGATGCTGGCTACATCATTGAGGCCCAGGATCTGGAGCTCTTTAAGTCTGAGATTGTGTGCCAGAATTCCGACGATCTCGTGTCCCTGAAAAACGGCGACCTGGTGCATCCAAACATTGCCGCAATGTACAAGCTGCTGGAAAAGGACGAGAAAAACGCCAGCAACTCAACTAAGACGAGCTGCTCCCTTCGGACGGCCATCACGCATTCGGCACTGCAGAGAGCGGGCAAAAAATGCAGGCACTGCAATAAATCCATGCGTTCTGTACGCTACATGCATCGCAGATTGGTATTTTATGTCACCAAAGCCGATATCAAGGAGCGGTAAGATAAAAAATTCTTTATATTTAAAAAATCCAAATTAAATGCGATTATTTTTTCCTTAAAGTGTTGGTGGTGCCTCCGAAACCAGTGGTCAGAACAAGGTTATCTTTGCAGACGAATGCCGTCGATATCTTCGCGAGATTTACGCCAATTACCCGCAGTTGTTGAAGCTATTGGTGCCTGTTTTGGCACTGAGCAACTCAGATGCGTTGGAGGGCAATCGGTCGCCCGTGGACCTCTTCTTTATGGACACCATACCGGTGACGCCGCCACGCGCTCGTCCCATGAACATGGTCGGCGACATGCTGAAAGGCAATCCACAAACAGACATCTATATCCACATCATCGAGAACAACCATGTGCTGAATGTGGTTCTCAGGTACATGAAGGGCACCCAGGAAAAGCTATCGGATGAAGCAAGAGCTGCCTATCAGAACCTGAAGGGTTCGTCTGCCCACGAGAAGTTGTACAACGCTTGGCTGGCTCTCCAAACTTCAGTGGATGTGCTTCTTGACGTGAACATGTCTCGAGAAATGAAATCGGCTGAGGGTCTGAAGCAAATTATTGAAAAGAAAGATGGCCTTATCCGCAAGCATATGATGGGCAAGCGTGTGAACTACGCCGCTCGTACTGTCATTACCCCGGATCCTAATATAAACGTGGATGAGATCGGTATTCCTGATATTTTCGCGAGGAAATTATCGTATCCGGTGCCTGTTACCGAGTGGAATGTTACCGAGCTGCGCAAGATGGTAATGAACGGTCCAGATGTGCACCCCGGCGCCAACTACATCCAGGACAAAAATGGCTTCACCACCTACATCCCAGCCGATAATGCAGCCAAACGGGCAAGTTTGGCCAAGCTGCTACTGTCAAATCCGAAAGATGGCGTAAAGATTGTCCATCGGCACGTGCTAAATGGTGATGTTCTGCTGCTCAACCGTCAGCCCTCGCTGCATAAGCCATCCATCATGGCCCACAAGGCCCGCATCCTCCATGGCGAGAAGACCTTCCGGCTGCATTACTCAAATTGTAAGGCGTACAACGCTGATTTCGATGGTGACGAAATGAACGCTCACTATCCGCAGAGTGAAGTGGCCAGAGCAGAGGCATACAACCTAGTGAACGTAGCCAGCAACTATCTGGTGCCCAAGGACGGCACTCCGTTGGGTGGACTTATTCAGGATCACGTCATTTCGGGTGTAAAGCTTTCGATTCGAGGAAGGTTCTTCAACCGCGAGGACTACCAGCAACTGGTCTTCCAGGGCCTCTCGGACCACAAGAAGAATGTTAAGCTTCTGCCACCGGCCATAATAAAACCAGCTAAGCTTTGGTCCGGAAAGCAGGTGTTGTCTACGATCATTATCAACCTAATTCCCGAGGGCTATGAAAGAATTAATCTGGATTCGTTTGCCAAGATTGGTGGCAAGGTATGTATAGCTTTTAAGATTGCTATTGTCCCTTTACTTATGAAGTTCCAATCTCTTGCAGAACTGGAACGTGACCCGTCCACGGCCTCCAATTTGCGGAACGAACCCCCAGGAAAACGAGCTAAGCGAAAGCCAAGTCCAAATCAGAAAAGGAGAACTGCTCGTTGGTGTACTCGACAAACAGCAATATGGAGCCACCACTTTCGGTTTGATTCACTGCATGTATGAGTTGTATGGCGGCGAAGTTTCCACTCGCCTGCTAACTGCGTTTACAAAAGTATTTACCTTCTTCCTGCAACTGGAGGGATTTACTTTGGGTGTAAAGGATATTCTAGTGTCCAGCGAGGCGGATCGCAAGAGGAGAAAGATCATTCGCGAGTGTCGCAATGTGGGAAACAGCGCAGTGTCTTCTGCTCTAGAGTTAGAAGAGGAGCCGGAGCACGACGAGTTGGTTGAAAAAATGGAGGAGGCCTATGTCAAGGATCCTAAGTTCCGAGTGCTCTTGGATCGCAAATACAAATCAATCTTGGATGGCTACACAAATGACATAAATAAGTATGAAGTGAACTCATAACCAATATTAGATCGAAAATTAATTTTGTTTATATCTAGAACCTGTCTGCCCGGTGGACTGATTACAAAGTTCCCCTCGAACAATCTGCAACTGATGGTTCTATCAGGAGCCAAGGGATCTATGGTGAACACTATGCAGATCTCCTGTCTGTTGGGACAAATTGAGTTGGAGGGAAAGCGACCGCCCCTGATGATATCCGGCAAATCGCTTCCCAGTTTTACTTCGTTTGAGACATCGCCCAAGTCGGGAGGTTTTATTGATGGACGCTTCATGACGGGCATTCAGCCCCAGGACTTTTTCTTCCATTGCATGGCAGGTCGAGAAGTGAGTTGGAATTACTTTGAAAAGAGATTTGTTCAAGTATTTAATATTTTCTTTTTAATTCTTAGGGTCTTATTGATACTGCTGTAAAGACATCTCGCTCTGGTTACCTGCAGCGTTGCCTGATTAAGCATTTAGAGGGTTTGAGTGTGCATTATGATCTCACTGTCCGCGACAGTGATAATAGTGTGGTGCAGTTCCTCTACGGCGAGGACGGACTGGATATTCTGAAGTCTAAGTTCTTTAACGACAAGTTCTGTGCAGATTTCCTTACACAAAATGCTACAACCATCTTGCGTCCCAGTCAACTGCAATTGATGAAGGACGAGGAGGGTCTGGCCAAGGTGCAGCGCCACGAAAAGCACATCCGCAGTTGGAACAAGAAGAAACCCGCCAAACTGCGCTCAGCTTTCACTCACTTTTCCGAGGAACTGCGCGAGGATGTGGAAGTGAGGCGACCCAATGAGATCAACGCTAAGACTGGTCGCCGCCGTTTCGACGAGGGTTTGCTCAAGTTGTGGAAGAAGGCGGATGCCGAGGATAAGGCTCTGTATCGTAAAAAGTACGCCCGCTGTCCGGATCCCTCGGTGGCCGTCTACAAGCAGGATATTTACTACGGCAGTGTGTCGGAGAGGACGCGGAAACTAATCGATGATTATGCCAAGAGGAAACCAGAACTTAAGGAGACCATAGCCGACATCATGAGGGTTAAGACCATTAAGGCATTGGCATCGCCTGGCGAACCTGTGGGCTTGATTGCCGCTCAATCGATAGGAGAACCTTCCACTCAGATGACACTGAACACTTTCCATTTTGCGGGTCGTGGTGAAATGAACGTAACACTGGGTATTCCTCGACTGCGAGAGATTCTCATGCTGGCCTCTTCGAACATCAAGACCCCTTCAATGGATATTCCCATAAAAGCTGGTCAGCAGCATCAGGCGGAAAAGCTGCGGGTCAATCTGAATTCTGTGACTCTGGCAAATCTTTTGGAGTGTAAGTGGCAAAATCTATACACCTTGAATATATTTTAATGATCAATCTTTTGTGTAGCTGTTCACATCAGCACCAGTTTGGTACTGGAGCCAGAGCGAGCCTACGAGTATGAGATGCGCTTCCAATTTCTGCCTAGGGCGGTCTACAAAGACGATTATGGTGTGCGACCCAAGCAAATCATCAAATACATGCACCAAACCTTCATCAAGCAGCTTATTCGGGCTATTCTTAAGGTGTCGAACGCCGTAAAGACAACGAAAATGTGAGTAAATAAACGTGTATGCAGGGATAAATTTATAAAACTAATTCGATTTCAATTTTTAGTGTCGTAATAGATGACAAAAAGGAAACTGAGAAAGATGATGATAATGATTTGGACAACGCCGATGATGCCGCTCGTCCAAAAGCAGGAGATAACGATGATGATTCATCTGATAACGACGTGAGTTGAGGTAAATCCAATCTATGAACATAATTAATGGCATTTATTGTCCAAAGGGTGATGACGATGCGACCGGCGTGAAACTCAAGCAACGCAAAACCGACGAAAAGGACTACGACGATCCCGATGACGCTGAAGAGCTTCACGATGCTAATGGTAAATATAGATAATTGCACATATTTAAAGTGTTTAATACTACCCACTCATTTTTAGACGACGACGAAGAGGCCGATGATCAGGACGAGGAGGAAAAGGGCCAGGATGGAAATGAAAACGATGGCGATGACAAGTCGGTGGAAAGGCTGCTCAGCAACGATATGGTCAAGGGTTACACCTACGACAAGGAGAATCACCTGTGGTGCCAGGTCAATCTCAGTCTAAGTGTGCGATACCAGAAGCCCGATCTGACCTCCATCATCCGTGAGTTGGCGGGCAAGAGTGTGGTGCACCAGGTGCAGCACATCAAGCGTGCCATTATCTACAAGGGCAGCAACGATGAGCAGCTGCTGAAGACCGATGGCATCAACATTGGCGAGATGTTCCAGCACAACAAGATTCTCGACCTGAATCGCCTGTACTCCAACGATATCCATGCCATCGCCAGGACTTACGGCATCGAGGCTGCCTCCCAGGTGATTGTGAAGGAAGTGAGCAACGTGTTCAAGGTCTACGGCATCACGGTGGATCGCCGGCACTTGTCGCTAATCGCTGATTACATGACCTTCGACGGCACCTTCCAGCCGCTGTCCAGGAAGGGCATGGAGCACTCCTCTTCGCCTCTGCAGCAGATGTCCTTCGAGTCCAGTTTGCAGTTCCTGAGAAGCGCCGCCGGATTCGGCAGGCCGGATGAGCTCAACTCCCCGTCGAGTCGCTTGATGGTGGGCCTTCCAGTCAGAAATGGCACTGGTGCCTTTGAGTTGCTGACGAAAATATGTTAATCATTTGTTGTAAAAATAATAGAATTTTGAAACTTTTTTAATAAACATACCATAATGTTTGAAAAGAGTGGTTATAATATTTTCACATCGTGTTTTTGTGTAAAATATTCGTTTATTTAATTACGGTGTAAACAGGTAAGGTAAAAATACGTAAACTACAATTAACATTTTTGGTTTGCTTTCAGAACTTATCACAAGTCAACTGGTATTGCCAGTTCCTAACAGCCACACTCGGCTCGAATTTGCCGGCGACAGGGTCCAGGAGTTCCTCAACAGTTCCCGGTGGAGCTCCAGCTCCCGATCCCGCTCCCGTTCCTGCTCTTGGTCCACCTCCGCCTCCGCTTCTGGTTGCTCCTGCGGATCCCGTTCCGAATCCAGTTCCTGCTCCTCCATTAGCGTGGGCAATCTTGAAATCGTACGGCTGTAGTTGCCGGGGACGTCTTGCCCGCTGGTTATTGAGAATCTGCTCTCGTCGCTCGCCCTCAAGATGACCTCCTCCACCTCCAGATTCCGCTTCTCCGCTTCCATCCGCCGTCCGTTTCGTTGCACGACCACCTTTGCGCCAGGACTCGACATTGGCAATGCCCGAGGTCGTTGGCCCCTCGTCCTTCCGGTCCCCAAAGATGGTCGTCCAACGAAACCACTTATGTCATAAGCTGTAGCAATCCGACGCCGACGAGGCACTGCGTCGTCTCAAGGGATTCGGGTCTCTTCGAAGAAGGTAGACACACAGGCAGAGGCAGGCGAGGAGTAGGCACACCAGACCCAACATGGCGTAGAATCCCTGGCGATAGCGGGCTGCATCGGCACTCGCTTCCAAAAACCGCACTCGTTGTCCAAGAGCTCCTCCCTCGCTCAAGTCACCCACTCTCTCCAATGGGAGCAGCACCTGCCAAAAGCCGTAAACCTTCTGCAGGTGATTGGAGTACCCGGAATCCTGTTGATTACTCGCCATGTAGGAGTTGGCTGCAGTTGCTCTATAGGTGTCATGACGATTGCTGCGCGATAAACTTCGGTCGGGAACTCCTGTTTCTCCGCGGAGCAGCTTGTCCACCTCCGCTTCGTCCACCGATCCTGCCTGGGTACTCCTCGCCTGCTCTCCCAAGCTGTAGACAAACGGGTTCTCCTTATTGTAAGGCAGCCATCCATCGTAGATCCTTCCCGGCGTGGGATTGCCATTTTTGATGAAGTTCGCGAAGGCTCCTCTTATTTTCCGGCAGAGTTGCTCCTCCTCGCCACTGAATCTGCGACGAGCTATCTGCTGAAAGAGACTGGGACCCAGGAGCAGGGGAAGATCGGAGCTGTGGGAGGCTCCTCCAAAGAGATTCCTCTTGCCACGCATGTCCATCGAGTGCGAGTGGTCGAATACGTAGGCATAATTGGTGGTTCGGTTGAGCAGCTCCAGCAGTCGAAAAAAGGGTAATTCGTAAAGGGATTCGGAGAGGAGGCGCTGCATTCCACCCAGCAAGTGGATGACCCCCTCACCTTTTCCGTTGAAGTACCTCCACCTAATGGTTGCCATTTGGGATGAGCTCTCCTCGCCCGCCGATTCCAGAGCTCTCAGCACATTCGGCAGCAGAGTGTGGTTGATGTACTTCTGCAGAGCCACCTGTCCCTCCCTGGCCACATCCAACCAGTAGTCCTGCAGGAAGGCTCCCTCGTTGGAGGTGATGCCCAGCAGCAAGGGAGGCAGCGTTTCGTTTTGCAATCGCTGCTCGAACGTTAACCCTTCGGGTAGAAAAACTCCCAGCTGGGAGCTTCCATTGCCATGGTTATAGACACTTTCGTAGGCACGCAGCAAATCTTCGCGACTTTTTCTCCTCAAGCATCCCATCAATTGACGACGTTGCGCCTCTTCAAATTGACAGCCCAATTTTTGGATCATCACCTGACCAGTTTCCACAATCCTCTGCTGATGATTGCGACCCAAAGTTCGCATTATGGGACCGGGTGACATTAGCACCAGTTGCTTGACCAAGCGGGATTCCTCTAGAGCGGCAACCAATGCCAAGGGAGCTCCTCCACTTCCATGTCCCAGTAGAGTGATTTGATCTGGATTGCCACCGAAAGCATCTGCATTCCTCTGGATCCACCGCAAAGCCATCCTGACATCACTTAGTCCATAATTCCCAGGGACATGACGGTGGCTCTCCCCAGACTCAACCATCCGTAGATATTGTTCCGATACTGGACACTGACCACCACAATTCCCTCGCCGGCGAGATCCAAGCCGTTGATCCGATTTCTGGGCCAATCGTAGGCGAACTCCTCACCCGTGACGATGACAACGACGGGCAGTTTGCCATATCGCATTCCCGATTCCGGGGTCCAAATGTTCAGGTAGAGGCAGTCCTCATCCGTGCTCACTGACCTGGGAATACTTCCATCCGAGGTCTCGTCGTAAATGGTGTTCGAGAGCTGCGGGCAAATGGGCTGCATGGCGGTGGCCTGGAGGGTTCGGTTGAAACTGGAACTCGGTTTGGCGGGCTGCCATTGAAAATTACATACAAAGTGGGTTAAAATCGATGGTACAATTAAATTGATCAATCAAATTCATATTCTAAATTCACAAATAGTTCATACAACCTTCATGGTAAATTAGTTTTCAAAGTAAATATTTTTTAAGTTCAACGATTTTGACTGAAGTTGTTTAGATCGTATTGCTTTTAGACGGTCAATCAAAAATAATAAAACAACCACTCTTATTAAACTGCAGTTATAATCAACATCAATACAATTGAACACAACATTCCACAAACGTGAAAAATGTAAATTTAAATGAAAATTGCATTCTGTTGGTAGCAGCAGGGAATTAAAAGTCATTTAGTGAATAAAATGCAACCTTTTTAGTAGGTTTATACATTTCCATTCAAACAAACAAAATGCACTTTTCACTATCAAAATCAATAAAAGTCTTTTATTGGAACTAATTGATTTTTATGTTGAAACTCAATTGCTGAAAGTTATATTACCGGTCATTGAATCTGGGTACTTAAAATTTGTATTTCAAACTTCAACAATGCAAACAACACGTAAATTACTAAAAATATTTCATATTTGTTCAAACTTACCGCAAATCGGAGTTCATTGAGAGGTGGCTGTGCATAGGGAATGCCCAAAAAAGCGTAGACAGCGCCACGTGTTCCATCCGGAAAGACTTTGAGCTGCAAGCAATCGATCGGTTTAAGTTCTCAGATCCCATTTTCAGATCTATGTATAACACTCCGGTCTCACCCCAATAATATCTCCCTGCTCCAACTTAATGTGCGTCTGTTGGCCCCAACAAAAGTGCGACAGGTGAAGCAGAATCGGGAGCAGCCGGAAAAACTGCTGAATCCTTAATGCATTCCACATGATTGCCAGTTGCGACACTCACTTTTTAGCTCTCACTTTTAGCACATAACTTTTGCATAGTTCACAGCGCATTTAAGCGCATTTATTAATTATCGCACTCCTGTTTTATACAATTTTTCCCGAAAACGAAATATGTGTGAATTTTTCCACCGAAAATTCCGTTTTTTAGCCTGCAACTTTTCGTTCGTTCGACGTTGAAATGAAAACTGAGCCACAAAATAAAAAAAAACGCACACATCACGAATAAAGTTGGCTGCCCTGGGTCGGTGAGCTAACGAAAATTTCTGCTAGAATTATTTCAATTGTTTTCTGGTGTCATTACGACCGTTGTTGCTTTTGTTGCTGCGGTGCGCAGCGAATCATTCATGCATCCATAGATCAAAACACCAGCGACACCACCACCACTACTTCGAACTAAACCATCCAGCAGCAACAATGGGGGAGGTTCTTCCCAAAGCCATGGTAACGGGCCTCAACTATTTGTGGACGTGGATCTGGACCCTAAAGCCCAAGGGCCAGGTCTCCCAATTGCCAGCGAATGAGTCCCAACGAGGGTGGAACTAGTGGTTACTCTTACCGCAGGTTGTAAAGTGTTACAATTTTCTTATTTCTAAAAATTTTACAAGCTCTTACAATTTTAAGACATTCCACAATTATTAATTTACTGAAGAGATCACGCTAATTACTCATTAAAAATTTGATCAATTTAGCTAATAACCAGAGGGGACTAGGTTGTGCTTCGTTATTTCGTAGAATCAGACTGAACTGAACTTTCATGTGTAAGTTTAATTAAACAGTCTTGAGACAGTGTATAATATAGACTCCAATTGGGCAGCGTGCTCTTAAATTCTTTTGCAAGTCTTCCCAGATGATCACTATATGTGGTGAAGCAAAAGTGTCTTTAGATTCCGTAGTATACATAATATATACTGATTAATAATCATTTACTAATTATAATACCTGAGTACTGTTTATCTATTTGTAAATATTATTTTGTGCCTAATAAACTCTTTAAACCTCCCTCGTTCTTGTTTTTCATTGAATTCCGCACTGCTGTTAATGTCAAACATAAATTTTTCTCTGCTTCACAACTCACTCCCCCCCTTTTTTAGCCCGCTCCCTCTGGCAAATGAAGTTGTCGCTGGGTTTTTGGGGTTTGCAGCAGATAATGTACCATAATGTGGCCGTAATTCCCTCTCTGGCCCAATATGGTGTTGCTGGTGGTGGTTGGATGGATGGATCCGATTCCGAGTCCGATTCCGATGTTGTTAGTTTGCCAGAGAGTCAGAGTCGGTGCCTCTGTTCGTCGGGGCGGAGTTCCGGTCTGCGGAGTTCAGCCAGCGATCGCTGGATGCCGACTGCCGGAATGCCCGCAATTAAGTGGATGTGGATGCGGTCGGAGAGATGCGACTGCTCCAGCATCATGTCCCCACATTTATGTATTTTAATTAGTTTAAAACGTAATTTGTTTGTTGACCTGCGCGGATTACGAACACAAAATCGCCTTCACAAGCCGCCAATCTGCCGCGAAACACTGACCAAAATTTAGGAGAACAATATATAACTGGAGATTGAAAAACTTAATGTACTTTAAGTGGTTATAAGGTGCACTTAAAAAAGATAATTAAGTTATATCATGTTTATTTAATAAATGCATAGATGCCATAGATAAAAATTAATTTAAATTAATGTTCTATGTGTGATTTTTGGTTCGGCTGCTATCTTTGCTAAAGCATAATTTTCACTTAATTAATAACCAAAAGTGCACATTTAAATGGTCGCTCTACTGGAGACCCCTCATGACCCCTTCCCTACACAATTTATTCCCGATCACCCATTTCACTTTAGGCCTGGCCAATAGCGAGTTAATCAATTTATGCCTGCGAACGTCGGCGGTTCGCAGTTGGGTTTTCTGCGGGTCGCTGTTCAATTATAATAAATGGCATTGACGGCCTAGTTTGGTCAACGGTCACATCTGTGTGTTCGTGTGTGTGTGTGTGTGTTTGGGCCAACTGGGTGGTAAACAAATTAGCCTGGCCGAGGGCTGTGAAAATCACAACAAAGGTGCATGGCTATAGGCATGTCAGGTGAAATTTTGTTAATTGTTCACCTACAAAAGTTTTTAATATGAGAGGGAAAATAAGAGTTTTACGGAAAGTTTAGAAGAGTAATTCAATTTATATTCTGGTAATAACGAAGTAAAATATTCCCACAGGCAGGACTGAAAATTATTTTGTTTAAGCAAATATGATTTAAATGCTAAAGGCGAAATACGAGGCATTGCTATAAATCAATTCAGATTAGCAGATTTTTGTTGGGGGCCAATAAATTCCAACTTCCATTTCGCCCCCTGGAATTTTCTTGGATTTCGCACCTGAATACTTCTCTGTTTCTGGCCAGCATTTCCCTTCTGTCGGTCCAAGCTGTCGACTGACCTTAGGCTACATCTCGTTGTGACATTTAAGTGCTGCTAATACTTTTCGCCTCAGTCCAATAAATTCGTCATAAAAACGCTTGACACACAACTTGCCGTCAACACTTGTAACCGAGGGACCTTAAATGGAAACGCAAATTGTACTGAAATTTGTACAAATATTTGTGGAGTGCATATTGGGATATTTTGGCAGCTGCACTCGAAGCAGAATCAGAACAATAGCAACAACAAGGACACTTCATGCCGAGACCCTCAAGTCGCCGAAAGTTTTTCCTTTGTTGCATCGTCATAATGAAAATATTTATGATTTTTGGAGCCGAGTTGATTGTTTACATATTGCCAAAGCATATTGAAAACTTCTTTATTAAATTTTACTTCAATAAAAGCCAATTGTTTCCTGTTGCCATCGCTGTAATTTTATTTATTTTTTGTTGTTGTCGAGAATGCCTTCTATATGCATTTGTATATACGAAATGCCTGGCAAAGTTTTTAGTTTTCTGCCAGAGCGAGCTGCGTGTATTTCCACCGCCCCCTCCCCAGAATTTTCCTGTCTGGAACATCTGAGGGATGTGGGCTGCTGCCTGATTGCTATGGCTTCTGTTTCAGATTCCTGCTGATGCGATGCTAGAGGTTGCCTGCCTCACCAATTCAAATTCTGCTTCATATTTTCATATTTCTGCTAAACAATGGCATCAGATGTCGTCGTTTTTGCTTTGGGCATATCTCTGCAAATATTTGTATCTCGTTCGTACAAAATCGTTTAGTTAACGAGTCGTAAACACTTGTGATAGAATTCGACCAGACTTTTATGCAATGCATTTATGCATAAATTTGTTTCATGGCTAAATCCCATTAGATGAACCAAAGTTCAGCACGAATTAAATAAATGTATCAAAATTGGTGGGCAGGTATTTTTATGGTAATATTACTGCAAACTAAAATGAAGTTATAAAAAAATGTTACATGTTAAAGCTTTTATTACGCATACGCAATGCTGACAGAGGAATTTTGATAAACGAGGCGTATGAGCAATATATTTTTATTGTTATTTGTAAAAAAATTATTTTTATGCTTTGCATTAGCCCAAAATCATAAGCATTTTTAGCAAGCTATTAACTAATTAAAAATACAATCCCTTGAAAAAACGGGGAAATATCTAAAATGCATTGAATTTCTGCGGTTGCTGCAGCAACAACACTCAACTTGTTCGTGGTAATTACGTAATTAGCTGAAAGTACAAAAAGCAAAGGGTGAGCGGGCCATTTGCGTAAAGTATTTAACAAAACAATGCATAAAAGTTGCCTCTGTTGGCAGTTGCTTTAAGCCTAATTTAACGGTTCCGCAGACAAACAACGCGAATCGCGAACAGCGGCAGCCATTTTGTTTATGCCCCTAACCGCACACACAAGTTGGCAGTACTAGTAGTGGTAGTACTTAACGGTGAAAGGGGTGCGGGTGCGAAAGAGACCGGAACATGGCCCACTTTCTAATTAATGCAAAATATTGCAGCTGCAAAAAGAAACTTGCATATGTGCTGCCTACTTTTAGGTTGTCCCATGAAAGGTTGCCGCCACGTTTTTTGGTTGGCATTCAGGGGGCGGCAAATGGGTAGTTTGGGGGAGAAGGGGAGGCGTGGCACTCTGGCGGTTTCTTTGTTGCCTACAAAAAGCATCACTCACACACTCGAGCAAGAAGTGTTGTAGTTGCAGCAACTGCGACATCAGCAACATGCAACAACAACCTTGGCAATGTCAACAGCAGCCATCGCGGCGGAAGCAAGTGACCGCCGCCCGGGGCTCGACCGTGTGCTGCTAAATTAAATCCTGGAAAAACTACATGCCCCCCATATGGCGTAAAAACAGCTGCGAAATGGTCCACTAAATACAGCTCAACTTAAAGGAAACGCACCGCAATGACCTACATAACCCGTAAACAAGTTTGGTGGAGTAAACTAAACATTTAACTGGTATGTTAACCCTCTAAGCCCCAAGAGTGCCTTGAGGCACTCATTTCACATGCGTTTTTGTGGAAAGTGGCATTAGAGGGTTAATAATTTTGGCTTAATATGTCTGCTGGAAAGGTAATTTTAAAGTCAATTGTTAAATATTAAAAAAGTGGTTTTTAATATAAAAGCCATACTGATAGTATCTTTGAAGCCAAATATGTCATTTAAATGAACACTAAAAGCACTGCATACCATAATCGACTTAATTATAAAAGACCCTGCAATATCGATGTCATAATTGCCATTTGGTAAGTGCTTCGTCACCGCGCTGCAGAAAGGCATTCAAGCCGCAAAATTTCATTGCAGACTTTTGACGAGGCTGTGCAGTTTATTAATTTTCCAAAGCAATTAAGCGCTGCGAGAGGCATGTATACGTATATTTAGTTTTTCCTTTTAGTTTGGCAAACCAGAAACATGGCGACGCATTTTACGGCAACGAAATTTACAGCTTCCTCTAAAGATCCCCGCTAATTCCTTGGGCAAACTTTGTCACCAATGTGTTTCTAGGGTTTTCCTTTTACACCTTTCTTAATTGAAAATGCATTAGCTGCTTAAATTAAAAGAGAGAGAGAGAAACGAAGATGGTTTTCGAGTTTCAGTTTAATTTTTATTCAAAAATCACATTTGTTGTTTTTTATATATATATAGATACATATATATAATATTTCTGCTGCGATGTTTTGCCAATAATTTATGGTATAGGCTTACTAGGTTTTCGCGTTCATGGGTTCCCTGCAAGCCTTTGGAAGATAAATTTATCCCCTATCGTCTAGAAGACACTTCTTAGTCACTTCTGGAAGATAGAAAGACGATAGAACACATTTTACAAAAACAAAATACACTTCTATCGCCTAGAAGTTACTTCTTATACACTTCTGGAAGATAGAAAGACGATAGAAATTTTTGGAAAAAAAGAAGAGTTTTTTATCGCCTAGAAGTCACTTATAAGTCATTTCTGGAAGATAGAAAGACGATAGAACACATTTTACAAAAACAAAATACACATCTATCCCGAAGAAGACACTTCTGAGTCACTTCTGGAAGATAGAAAGACGATAGAAATTTTTGGAAAAAAAAGAAGAGTTTTTTATCGCCTAGAAGTCACTTATAAGTCATTTCTGGAAGATAGAAAGACGATAGAACACATTTTACAAAAACAAAATACACATCTATCCCGAAGAAGACACTTCTGAGTCACTTCTGGAAGATAGAAAGACGATAGCACACATTTTACAACAACAAATATACAAAAAAAACTATCTCCCAATTCACTTCTGGAAGTTGATAGGAAGATAGTAAAGCAAAGGTCCCAAAAATTTACCGATATTCTGGTTTTACTGAACATTTTTTTGTATTTTCCTTTGACCCGCGTACTGATTTTGCTGCAAAGCGTCATTCAGTTTCTAGATTGCTGACATGCCAGTTCAAGTCTGAAAATTGTTAAGTGTTTAAAGATATTATTGCGTCTAACAACGCGTACAATGCCGGCAAAAATGCAGCACATGTTAAGATCAACTATTTTTTATATAAAGGTAATGCACATCAGTTTCTAAATATGCTTTTCATTTTAATAATATTATTTGTTTGTTTGTTTTCTTTTAGAGTTTACATTTGTTAAATTTCTGGATGATTCAGAGCTGAAAAATCAAAAAATCTTCCATCAACAGTTCATCGGGTGTACAAGCGTCGAAAATATACAAAATTATATTTAAAAAAATATATTAACATACATATAAGTTATCATATTTAAAAAAAAATTAAATTTTTAATAAATATAGTAAAAATATTTTCTATTATTTTTTTCCAATTGGGAATATTCTTCTGGGTAACTTTTGGAAGTGTCGCGGAAGTCACTTCTAGAAGTGTCGCGGAAGACACTTCTGGAAGTGTCGCAGAAGTCTCTTCTGGGGGGTGACGCAGAAGTCACTTCTGGAAGTGTCGCGGAAGTCTCTTCTGGGGGGTGACGCAGAAGTCTCTTCTGGGGGGTGACGCAGAAGTGTCACAGTTCTTCCCGACGGACGTCACTTCCGCGATCCGAAAGCGATAGTCGCGGAAGATAGTTTTATCTTCCAGAAGTCACTCAGAAGTGTCTTCCGCGATAGAAAAGGCTTGCAGGGTTTATTTATGTAATTTACATTTATTCATGTGTGTGTGTCGGTATGTGGTGTTGGTATTGGTGTGGGTGTGGTTGTATGCCTTAAGCTTTAACAATCATTACTAGGCAATAGTTTTAAGCACATTCACTATATATATCGGTTTAAATTTACTTGCAGTTCAACATGAATTTCTTTTGCCTTCTGTACAAATTTAATGCGTTATTTACCTTGGACAAACAAGTGGGGAGAGGTTAAATAAATATTTTCATGAAAGGTTTGCATTTACATTACTTTTCGCAACATGCCAATCATCTCGTATTTGCCAATGAAAGTGTACTGAAACAAAATGAAATATAATTTCATTTGACAAGTGACAGCGAGGAGTTTGAGGCGATTTCAATCGAAATAATGAACATTTCGCTATGATTTGATGGGCCATGTGAGTGGATCTATCTCAGAGTATCAATCTTAAGCTCAGATATGTTTACAAAATGATATTATATTTCGTTACGCATGCCTCGTTACAATGTAGTAGAAATAATAAATGACAGTATTTTGTATCTTTGCTTTTTTCCAAACCCTATTCTTCACACTTTATTGTCGTTTTTGTCAAGCCGTTCTATGCAAATTATCTTTGGGATTGCGGGTTTGAAATATGTAGGCAGAAGATTTTTTAAGTGAAAATTCCTTTTAATTTTTTTTAATACATAACCAGAGGGTTTAAAATGACCAAATGCACCTCTTAAAAAATCCATTAACTTTACACCCTTTCAGTGTTTTTCACATTTAGTCTGCCATTTGTGCAAAGCGTAAATCTGCATATGATGGAATGTATTTTATTTTATTGAATAACCCATCGGAATAACAAGTGAATGAAGTATTCTCTGTGCATTTTTTGCACATGGCTTGTCCAGTTAAATGTGGCAAAATAATTGATTATGCACAATTATCCCTATAACGCAAATGAAATAAATCGAAAAATGTGAGGGAAATGGCGGGAAAAGGAAAAGGAAGAAGAGGGGAAAGGGGGTTAAAAGTCTATATGTATTAATGAGAGCACATGCAATTTTCAATCGTATCACAACATCCATATTCGTATTTCAATGCTTTTCTCATTTCATTAAGATTGGTTGGGTTTTTCAGGTTTTCCTTTTTTTATATTTTTGTATTTGCGCTGCTGCATGTTAATGTTAATGCAATAAATTTGATTACCGTTTCGCAGGCTGCAATAATTATTTTATTGTTATTAATTAATGGCTTTTGCAATCGTTTTTGTTTGTGTTTGGCCTTTTTTCTCCGTTTTTCCTTTGGTTTTTGTTGTTTGTTTTGTTTTTCGTTTCTGTTTTTTGTGTGGGCGGGGCGGGATCAAGGAGCCTTTTCAATATTTTTGGTCGAGTTGTTTTGTATTGTTATGTTTGCTTGTTGTTTTTGTCTTGGTTAAGATTTCCCACTATGTTTACCTTTTGTTTTCCGTTTAAATCTGTATAAAAAGTGCAATTGTCTGTTTTTGTGTTTTTGTTTACCTCTGTTGTGTCAAATACAAATTCACAAATACAATTATATACGAGTTATAATACAAATATCCTTTACACACAGATACAAAAAATAAAACACACTGTACAAAATTTGTTCTGATTCGGTTTCGACTTTTCAGTTTCCTATTTGTATACGTATGTGGTAGATGTCGCTGTGTATGTGAAAAGTGCTGAGTGTGTGTATTTGTGTGTGATGTGTGTGTGTGTGTGGTGTGCATATCCTTCGCCTTGGGCCACACACATTCCGAATATGCATATCCATATAGCTGGCATTTTTGATTATTATTATTCGTAGTCAACGGCAAAAATGTTTGTTTGAAATGTTTGATTTATGTGCATGCTGATAGGGAACATTTCATTGCATTTGTCGTCTCTGTCTGTCCGTCGGTCCGTCAGTCCGTCTCTGTCTGCTCGATGGTGCAGTCATGTTTTGACATGCACAGCATCCATTCACATTCGTATATATTCATGCTGCCGATAAGCATATTCGACTGATAAATGCTAAACAATTTCGCCGTTTGGCAGTCAAGAGTTTCGAGAGTTTGGGCAACATTCTGCGTTGGCATCAATCGATTTCCCGCCACAGAATGTTGTTGGGTTCGTAGGAACCAGTTGGCTGGCAAAAGAAAAATTAAAAAAGGATCAAGGAGTCCAATTACCATTTAACCCAAAAATACATACATAACTGAATTTAAAAGCATAAAATCGTCGGTTGCTTTACAAATAAGCACTAGTTCCTGAAAAAGGATAAAGGAATAACCAAACGGAATAAATTAGACAGAATTGGCTTGCAGCAATATTGAAATGTTCTTTGTAATCCCCAACTCATTTGATATGTTGAATCTAGTCATTGCTTTTAGCTCTTATTGTTCTTCGCACTTGAAAACGGATATTGCCAGGTCAAAATCAAAGGGTAACCAAAGTCAAATAATAAATAAAACAAAGGGGTCAAATTCATCTGCAATCGTGTATATTTGTTGTAAAAAATAGTTATAGAAATATACTTTAGCTATAGTATATGTGTAGAATTTCCTTGTGGTCGCTTAAACTAAAATCGCTCCCTTTTGGAGCATCTCGTTTTGATATGCGCGTGTGATTAAAAAGTTGATTGCATATTGATAATTGATTTACGTACTTCAGTAAATGGCCACGTTAAGAACTAAAAGCTGAGTTGTCCAAATAAAAAATTGCACATAACAAGTTGGAAATGGAAAGCTACTTAAACCTTAAACTTAGCATTAGTTAATTGCTTCTCCCCTGCGGATTTTGTGCACATACATATTGCTGAATGGCCTGGAAAGAGTTCGATTAGCTCTCCTTTGCTGTTTGCTGCTCCTTAATGGCCACGGATAATCAGAATATACAGTCGGTATACAGTAGTTAGCTATACGGAATTCGAAGAGCCTCAAGTTGGAATTCGAAACTGAAAAGGAGACGACTTTGCCATGTCCACACATGTTCACATTGATAAATCACTAACTATACACGGAGAGTTACAACAAGGACATACAAACATTTACACATACAAAACTCAACTCACACAGTACAAAAAATCGGCTACTTATGTTCCTAGACATATATCCATTTACATATATGCATGTTTTATAGAAAAATTGCTAAGCGCAGCTAATTTGAAATTAGCAAAAAAGATGGCAAAATCGTTCGCTTCGCTTGCAGTTAACTAGGCTAATTCACATAATCGTATTTAGAGTCTATATATATATACACATTGCATATATAATTGCAAAGGATGCCGGATGCTTACATCGATGTACACATACATACATTTACAAACGCCCGCTGGCTCCTAACTAAGTTCCTTCCTTTCGCTACTAATAATAATTAACATAGTTCTTGCATCGCTTGCCCAGCGTCAAAAAACAGCATTTCATCTAAACTTATGTGTTTGTGTGTGTGGCTGTGTGTTGGTATTGGTTTTGCTGTGGGTGTGGGTGTGTGGTGTATTGGTATTCAGTACTCTTAACGCTTGTAGCTATTGCCAGGTTGCACATATCGCTAGCTGCCGACCAACTCGATCTGGCGATATTTCTTGCGCAAATTGGAAACTGGATCACGATACAGCATGGGATCCATGCGCAAATTGGAACGTATCAGCGGCATATAGCTGAAAAGATAAAACAAATATATATATTAAACTTAATGGTATACTAATATTCATATAAGTAAGATTCAAAAATGTACACATTACTTTAAAATGGTTAGGAAACAACCATTAACAACATAGTTAAATCTATGATTGTTGTTGATTGTTGTTGTTGATGTTGTTGATTGTTGGTTTATTATAAACAGAATTTATTTAAAAAAAATGATATCTTTCTCTATAAGTAAAACTCACCCAAAGACCGCCGCGAAGGTATTCAGGCAGCTCTGGCGCTGGATGAAGTGATCGGGATCGTTCCAGGGCGAGCGACCCGTCTCCCGATCCTTGTAGCCCTTGCGCTGCGTCACCTTGATTGGCGGCTTCCTGGTCACGTGCGAGACCAGCAGGTTCATTAGGATGTCCTCGCAGTTGGAGGACTGCTGTACAGTCTTAAGTAGCAGCAACGACAGCCAGTTGGTGTACAAGTAGTTGTAGTAGCGGTGGTAGAAGGCCGCCCCAGTTAGCACGATCGAATAGTAGTTCGTCCACTTGGACGTATAGCCCCAGGCATTCTGCAAGGATAATACCTATTAAATCCTGTTCATTATATCTTCTCCCTGGTGAACCCACCTTGGAATCATCCCAGAAGTGAGCTCTGGCCGGATAGCCAACGATGCGCTCGGGAAAGTCCCGCCACACCGTGTAGGCAAAGTCCAGTTCATCCGTGTTCAAGATGGCATCCTCGTCCAGGGACAGAACTGCATCCGTTTGGATCTCCTCGTAGGGCAGGAATCGTTGTGATATGCTCGGTCGTCCCTCAGTCGTCTGGCTTGTGGGTCCAGCTCCCAGGTTCCTAGTGCTGCCGCCCAGGGAGATGACGTGCAGGGGTATGTGGTTGGTGGGTGGCCAGCGTTTCTTCAGCGGAAGCGGTCGATCGGCAGCCCAAAGGACAAGGATCTAAAGGAAAAAAGAGGGAAGCAGGTAGGGTTTAACAAATGTTTATAAATTTGCCACACGGTTATAAATTCGAACAACATAGTTTTATCTTTCAAATTGAGTACACATTTATTTTGGTTTGTCCTTGAGCTTTTCCCCTTTGCTTTCTCTTCCCTGAACGTAAAATCTTACATTTTCAACCTCAAACACTTATTCAATTTGCGACTTACCCTCTCGACGAACTGGCTCTTGGTGATGGTCCTGACCAGCTTGTAGAGCGCCGCATTGGGACCCAGGGCGGCGCCAATCTGCACGTAGATGACCGCCGTGTAGTTGTGTCGCGGCTCGGCGCCCATCGAGTTGAGCAGGAACGGCATGTACCTGCGGGTGGTCGGAATCAAAATCGATTGAGCTAGGCTACAAGGTTGCACAACAGGATGTGTGCGGTGGCGCTACCAACCTTGAACTGTCGGCGAAGTTGGGCAACGTGAGCAGGGCTCCCGGGGAGCTGTTCCACACCAAGCTGCTCCGCACCGGATAATCCGGCAACCGTTCGCGAATGATCTGCAAAATTCGAGGGGGAGAAAGTATGTAGTAGTAAGTGCTGGCGGGGTTAACGCTTGTTTAATGGCTTCTCGATACGCTCAAGTGCTGATTGCCAATTGATTGCCTAATGAGCGGGGCAGCGAGGACTCAGCTCAGCTGAATTGCGAAGTGCATTTCAAGGAGCGGTCCAAATTGCGATTTGAATAGTCCTCCCAGTGGTCTGTTTGCCCCTCTGGGTCCTGTTTCCCTCCCTTTCCTAGACTCTCTCTCTCTATCAGTTCGGTTTGTCCTCCGCTGAATGTGATAATTCAATGGGCCCGAGTTGTTGCCTAATTTTCCGCTTGGCGCAGATTGCAACCACTCTTCCCCGAACACTTTGCCCTATTCAAATAAACGACGGCGGTCAAAGAAACAGCAGCACTAAAAGTGAAGCCATGGGATTGCAGCAATCTAGTTCTTTATAAGAGTTTCTGCTCTGATTGGCTTTGGTATAACCATAAAAAAAGAGATGGTTGGTAAATAAATATATTTATTTATGCATTAATTACAGAGCAGCGAATTTTGCACAAAAACTATATTTACAAGACTAATTTTAGGATCTACATTTATTTATTCTTGAAAAACAAACATATTATATTTCTCAAATAAATTGTTTAATCATTTGCAATCACATCCTAGTTGTGTTTTTTTTATGGAATTAAAAGAGAACCAACATATTTCAGAATCAGACCATATTTTAAATTTCACAATCAAAAATCATAATAAATTAATATTAAAATAAATAGAGAAATCAAAGTCATTAAGCTGCAGCGCTTAACTATTAATCCGGGCTTAGCTGTGGATATATCATGCATATACTCGTATGCATGCCGAATGGCGTTACCGCAGTTTCCGCTGCGCAGCGGAAGTCGCACAGCAACCTCAATGGGCGGAAATGCCCCTCTGTCTCTTTCTATCCCCCCACAGAGAGAGTGAGAGTGGGACAAGGACAGCTAGATGGAAGTGGAGTGGGGCAGCTAGCGTGCCATTAACGCGGCGTTAATTTGTCGCTCAAAGTGTGAGCCGCCTTAAAGTATGCCATGCCAAATTAGTTAGACATCCCAGCCGCAGTTAACTCGCCGCCAAGTCCTCCTCCTCCTCCTCCATTTACCACTCCCCCCTCCCCACCGTTTTCCATTTCCCCATTTTCCATTTGGCACTGTTTTGGCTCACGAGTTTGTGTTTGAGTCTGGGCTGAATGCAATTATAATTGCAAAGCCTGACCCCAACTAAAAGCTTAGTTGGAGGGCGGTGTTCGAGTTGAGTTATGCAAGTGCAGGTGCAGCCACGTGCACCTGACGCAAAACAGAAGACGGAGCGTTGTGCAAGTGCCACCCACCCAACCACCCATCCATCCAACCCCCTGCTACCCACAAACTACCATCTACCACCCACCCATCCTCTTCAGCTCAGTTCATTCGTGTTATTTCTGTCTGGCACGCTCCGCTTTTGTGCGTGTGGTTAGTGAAATTTGAATGCGGGGACGGGGACGATCATCTCCCGGCGGAACCGCTCCACAATTCAGGCTAAAAGACATAATGAGACGTTTGGGGAGCGGTACCTACAATTAGACGCAATTACGGTTGATAGATCGACAGTTGGTAATCCACTGAGCTTAGAGTTGGCTTACCCTGGATTTTCAAAGGCAAAGGATACGTATTCGTTGATTGAAATTGACATTTACGAAATCGAAAACAATCAATAAAGTTACTTTTAAAATTCTTGAATTTTAAATTATTTAAATATACAAAAGTTGAGCACAAATATACAAGTTATTATCTTATTCTATTTTTTGTTAATGTAAAATATTAACTTTATTGGGTCAGGGTCCATCATCACTCATGAGCGTAAACCCGCACTAAACGTTCTTCCATCCCTCTGCGCTTTGGAAACTATCAATATTCATAAGCTTAATCCGATGCCAGGGCATCCTGACTTCGTTGGGGATTTGGGAATTTATTCCTCGCTCGCCATCTTTTTGTTTACATCCATCATCGGGGTGCTTCGTACCGCTCGTTAAGCGCCAAACTGCAGGTGCAGGAGCAAACTAACCAAACTAGGATTTCGCAGGACCTGCCGATCCCTGGCTGGCTCCTTGTCTGACTGGCAACGTGTCTCGAGTGCCTGCTTTATATTTTGTAATTATAATTCCTTCTTCGGGGCTTCCCCCTTTTTGCATAATCAACGCTCAACTACTAACGCGCAGAAAGCGTGTTTGTTTAACCCTCTCCTTTCCCTTGCTTTCTCCTCCTTTCCCTGCCTTTCGCTGTGTGCGTGAGTATCTCTGTGTGTGTGTGTGTGTGCGTGGGGTTTTTGTTATCCTGCGACATAATTAAGTCAATCCCGTGCTGTTGACGCTGCCAGCATAATTGAGAGCGAGAGGCAGCTAACAGGGGCCGTCAGACGGAGATGGCCTATGCCTATGCCAGCGATTCAATTATGCACATTGCCATTGCATTGCATATATGTTTAGGCCTGGCCCAGACGAGCGGCTCGCTTCCCCTTCGCCAACATTTTAATTGGCCGACAAAGTGCATTTAATTGGCTTAGATCCATGCGGCGCAGCCAGAATTTTTAGGTGGCTCCCCACTGCGTAAAACTACAGTCGAACTTTGGATGCAATAAATTTAGTTGATGGTACAAAAATATATGGAGAAAATATTACTTATTTTAGGAAAAACAAACACGCATCTTAAAAAGTATTTCCAATTTGTTTTTGAACGGAAACCTTGTTATCAATAATGCATGATTACTGATTAGCATGTAAAAGCTAGCAAAAGATAATCCATATTTCATTTCATACATCATATTTGGTTTTCCATGTCAGGGAGTGCGATGTTCAGCTGCTGTTTTTCTTTATTCCATAACTCGAGGCTGCACCATTTGGATGTCAGCCAGGAGACTTATCGCAATCGAAGAATCGAACCAAGAGCAGCAGCAAAAATCGCTATTGGCACTGCTTAAGGAACATAAGTGAGGCGGTCGGAAAGGGAAGGCAGCCAGAACTTCATTTCCGATTCGCATCAGCATCAAATGGTATATAGATGTGTGCGTTGGCGATGATTAAGTTGCCGGCAAAGCTAACTGCAGATAGCTGGAGGCCTAAGGACCTAATAGAGTGGATAATGTAGGCAAATAAAACAGGTGCATGCATATCTGGCCCCCAAACATTTGCCTTAAAGTCGGAATTTAAAGTGTTTGCCAGCTGCCAAAGACAAACAGAATTATTCTCTCCTGGCTTGTCTGGAATTCCATTAACAGTTTGCCCAAAAGTCGACTCGATGCATCCCATACCCACATGAAATATATGCAATATTCAGTATGCGTGTCTGACGAAATTTGCTTAAATTAATTGCAAGAATTTCCTTTGGCCTATAGAAGTTGAAATTCCGTTTTACTCCTTTTACATGTTTATTTTGTTGATCAGTTTTTATTTATGGTGGCTTGCCTTTGAGGAAATTTTAATTGAAGCCCTTTGCAAAAGGATTTCTTACGAACGAAATTGGATTCAAGATTAATAAAAAACAATGTTGGTGTAAAAGAAAAGTAGTTTTCCTTTGAAAAATTTTTAGGGCGACTGTTGCCAAAATGGATTAAAGCACAAAATAACATTTCTGATCATTTAGTGGATCTCATTTATGTATCTCTTAGGTGTCTTACGTTTTCCTTCCTAATCAGCTTTAGAAAACACACATCTGCAGCTTACATGAAAGCGAATATGTTTACAAATTGAATTCTGTTGGTGATGCCATCGCAGAAGTTTTCGCTTCCTGTTCTTCAGCGTAATAAGAAAACGTCGGTTTCTTTTTTCGCATACTATTTTTCTTAGCATACTTCGGGGGGCCAGCAACTTCCTGCATCAGTCAGTGTATGTGTGTGTGAGAGGCTAAAGTGGGCGTGGCAAGCGGGTTAAAAGTTCCAAGCTGTGCAAAGGCAGCTGCATACATAAAATGTACTTCTTCGTTGGCCAGGCCAAAAGTTGCACTCAGTGACACCCGAAACACTCAACATAAAAAAAAGAGGAATGAAAAAATACAGAACAGGACGAACTCCGTCGAAGACAAACACTAAATTAACTTATGCAAGTAGCTAAAGGAGACTTGAACACATAGATAAAATGGAAAGGAAGTGGAAAATAGTATGCAAGTGCGTTCCAGAAACTTTTCTTTATAACTTCCTTTGCTTAATAATTAACGAACGTCAAGCAGGCAAAAAATATGTTAACTGCCATATAAATCAAACAATAAACGAAAGGAGAGGACCGACAACATGACGTATGCATAACCAGTTCACTCCAATCTTAATTTTCTTTATAACTGCGAATCTTCCACTCAATTAAAAACACAAAACGTTTTGAAATAAAATCAAACACAATACCGTATACTTCCCCAGGTACCAAAAATATTTGAAATTTCCAGCACGTTCAGCGAAACGCAAACAATTTTACCCTCTGCGGTTTTTGGCTTATGACAATTAAACAAAACACACCAGCAAATCACTAACCAATTTCGAACTGAATTCATTTTATATTACTCGTTCGGTTTTTTTTTGTACCATATTTTATAGATATGTGCGCCGCACAGACGTGTTTTCGCACAAAAATTTATCGATTCTAAACTTGTTGACCAATGTTAATTAAGTGACATTCCGGAGGCGAAAGGGGAATAGCGATTTGGGGGTTATTCGACGATGTGTAAATTGTCGGATGGTCAGTTCTTTGGATTTGTTTTAGGATTGCCGAAAATACATTTTCACTCATTTTTTGGTGAAAATGGACCCGCTGAATTCCCGAATATCCATTGTAAATGAAACAAAAATGGATTAGGAACTTGAATTTTGGCATTCTCCTTTTTAGTTGTTCTAAAAGTTTTGTTGCCAACTTAATTTTAAAACCATAATAACTTTGAAAGGTCTTCAAATTACGCTCAAGCCTTAAGCTTGCAATGAATTTTTTCAGCACCTCTTCAGCTTAATCGCCA